TTAACAAACATGGCGTCTTATATCAAAGTGTGTTTTCAGTGTTAACCAAAATAAAGCTGATTTGCAGTATATTACTCAGCACATCAGTAGTCTGTGTACTGTACTGACCGTCCTCTTTAGTTTTGGTAAATGATACTTATGACACACTTTGCTATGGAAGGACACCATATTTGTTGTTTGGTACCCACTACAGGTCACATGACTTAGCAGGTGCAGTTGGTCCGTTACAGGGGCAGAAACCAGGCAGTTGTCCTAGCCAGTTCTACCACAAAGCTTGTTATGCTTATTCCGTTACCACCTGTGCTGCAATCTTTCTTTCAGGGTTTTGTTACTCCAGATATGGTTCAGGCCCTCATGAGCGAAGATGTCACCCAGCAACTGGCTGCCACACAAAAGTTTAGGAAACTACTCTCAAAAGGTACATAAATTACCACAGCCATTGCTGCTTATGAACATAAAAAAAATAACTAATATTGCCCCCGTAGAAGTGCACTGTGTATTCAGGTAGCCAAAAGGGCAGTTTTAATATTTTAACATAAAGGACATCTCATTTCTGCAACTTCTGGTAGGCAAAGGATCATTCTAAGCAGTCGACATGTCATATTTTTTGCTCTTAAGTAGTTCAGATGCATTCCCTAAAATAGGTGGGGTCACATCCACGTTCATGAATGATTCATTCACAGAGCCTAACCCTCCCATCGATGAGGTCATCCATACTGGAATTGTACCCCGATTCGTTGAATTCCTACAAAACAACAGCAACAGCACCTTACAGGTAAACCCATTCCTCAGAAGTGTCTCTTCCTCAACAAACTGTCGATGACTTAACTTTGATGACACAGCACGAGGAAGGCAAATTACATGTATCCTAACTGTGACTGATGTTCAGTGTGACTGCAGAACTCTTTCAGCGCACCTTCCAAGTTTTCAAGTTTTTAAAATTCTACCCACGAAAGGGGAAGCCTTGGTCCCAAAATGCTCATTGAAGCCAGTGCCACTGGATTCCTGTGTAGGATTTTCATTTCTACGATGTATGGTTTTTTTCTTGTCAGTTTGAAGCTGCCTGGGTGCTGACCAACATAGCATCAGGAACTTCACTACAGACTCGATGTGTTATAGAAGCGGGAGCCGTCCCACTATTCATCATGTTACTCAACTCAGAATTTGAAGATGTACAAGAACAGGTCAGTACAGTTTCCCATCATCTTCCACCCCAGTGACGGCCAAATTTCCAGAAATGTTGTTGAATAAAGCTGAAGGAGAGCTTTGTGTAAAGTTAGTCTTGTAAATGTTGAAAAAAGTTGCCCCAAGTTTCCAAGACGTAAGATGCATTAGAGGATAGCATCAGGGAGACCAAACTGGAACCAGTGGGCACGTTTTGTCATTGAATAGCCTCTCTGTTAAGCTTGAGCAAAGCAGGGACCATCGGACTTTTGAATTTCTTCACTTTGAAAAATAGGCTAATACCAGCCTTTGTTCTGTACTTGACCATTTCTCCCACTGATTTCATTGATAGTATGAGTTGCCTGAACACTGAATGGAACAGACTCAAGTGAGGGGGGAGGGACTTGAATCTGGCCAGGCCATCCAGAGGCCTGACCTTCTTGATACATGTAATTAACACCTCTGTTGTAACGTAGAATAGGGTTAAGTCAAGAAAGATACAGGCCTGAATGGCCAAGCATTGGTTGGCTTGTCAGTGGCGCAGTCACACCTCTAAAAAGTCTGGTTTGCTCCCTGAACAGTGTTTAGTTTTAGAGGACGCTGTTTGGTTACTGTTTGCCACAGTTTTGACAGTTGTAAAATGAGAAATGTCATGATTTGACTGAAGCTTAAAACAGGAGAAATGAGCAGAAGGAGTCATGAAACTGTTGAACGATCCTTGCCATCATCCGGTTGTTTTTGGTCGACAGGCTGTCTGGGCACTAGGTAACATTGCAGGGGACTGTCCTGACTGCCGAGATTTTGTAATTGACAGTGGAATCATCATGCCATTGCTGCAGTAAGTACTGTTTGATGTGGCGTGTTATCTCTTAAAACCCTTGTTGCTCTGCTAAAGCTCTCAAGTGGCCTGTATATGTCTGCTGTAAGACAGTGCGTCTTGCGAGAAGCATTCACCTTCGATAGTTGCCATGGTACATGTATGTGAGGGTTTAGCAGCCTTGCGCTTGTAGATATGCCAGGCTGGAAAGCAGCTCTTGATAAGCAATGAGATGCCTCATATCTTCTAGCACCTAGTCCGGCCCTTCTAATAGGAGTTTCAGATGTTTAAGTATTTAATTCCCTGTCGCACTCCATGTAGAGGGGTATGTGTGGTAGACCAGCAGAAAAAAATTATACGTTGTGATCGAGGATCAACACATCAGCTTACCAATCAGTGTTTGGTCATGCCTGGACTTTCCTTGGATTGGCTGACTTTCTATTTCTATTCCTTTAAATATCGTGTTAGCTAAATTGCTGTATGAAGTCTTAAAAAGCTTAAAATTGTCTTGCTTTATTCAAACCTCCTATTGCATGCTCTGTTGATTTTTCTTTCAAGGAGGTGGGTCCTTTCTAGGATCAAGGTAGGAGCGGTGTTTTCCTGTCAACTTCGTTTGTGACAAATGCGGTAGTTGTTAGTCACATTAATAATGATGCTATAAATGATGTGTCCTTGATAGATTACTGGCTAAATCAAGCAAGCTGTCCATGACAAGAAATGCTGTCTGGGCACTGTCCAATCTCTGCAGAGGAAAGAATCCCCCACCGAACTTTGACAAGGTAAGAAACGATCAGGGGAAAAGGCAATAATAAAATGGAACGATACCATTAGGATCAGGAAGGCACAGAATCCATGCAGTACAGTGTGTAGTCTGGTTACCTGTTTCCACCCACTTGTTCCTCAGGTGAAGACATGCCTGCCAGTTCTGTCACGTCTATTATTCCACAATGATCACGATGTCCTGGCTGATGCTTGCTGGGCCCTCTCATACCTGTCAGACGGACCCAATGAAAAGATTCAGGCTGTCATTGACAGTGGGGTCTGTCGGAGACTAGTGGAACTTCTCATGTGAGTCTTGTTCAAAGAGATTAAAGTCTCTGCCGTTGTTAACAAATAAAAATAAGCAAATATAATTTAATTTGGGAACTGAAAAATGTCATTTTGTTTGACTTGCCCCTCTGAAAAACACTTTATTTGTGATAATCTCTTACAGGAATGCCTCACTGAATGTTGTGTCTGCAGCCTTGCGAGCTGTAGGAAATATTGTCACAGGCGATGACATCCAAACGCAGGTAAATAGTTCCCTCATCACCTCAAGCGTGGTCTAATGGAATCCCCGAGTAGAGTGTATCAAGTAGTGATAAAGCATCTTGCTTGAAAAGACAAGGCCCAGGACGACTGGTTAGACTTGGAGCCACAATCTGTTATTCCAGTCTGCCTTGAGAGCCATAAGCCACCTTTCTTTGCATGTAGTTTCCTCCAGGCAGTTGTGCAAAGCCACCATAATTTGTCGCCTACCAGTTCTGCCATTTACCGGTATCAGGTACCTGTACCGGTAGATATCTGTGGAGAGTTTAGCTGTACTGGTGCCCTATTGTCACAGGGTTCCCACGGCCAGGAAAAGTCACGGAAAAGTCATGGAAATTTGTTTGTCATTTTCCAGACCTGGAAAAGTCATGGACTTTTGTAAAACGACTTAAGTCATGGAAAAGTCGTGGAATTTTTCAAACTGTGTGTGGACTTCTGCTAACCATTACCTGCCGGGTGCTTTTAAAAAGGCATTGCCTACATACGGGCAATTTTTCAAAATCTTCGGTTTTCAAAATCTTCAAAATTCATTTTTTTTTTAAATGCCTGAACCCCATGGAGTGATTGTTTGGTGGCTACACTAATCTGACATACAACATCTATTGATGCCAGAGTATTTCAACCAGGCCTGTTGCCTTATAAAAAGAGCCCAAATTGTGTGGTGTTACATAAGTTTCTTTTGTTCCTGAAACTGGCACAGTGCAGTGCTGGCGTCTTTTCAGAACGGGCCAGATAAGCGTGCAGCAGCATTGTATCGCTCATCACTGGAATGTTGGAGTACTTTTGTCCCCGGTGGTAATCCACACGTGCTGAATGCCACAAACAGTGTTATAATCGTTCAAAACAATGACAGATTTCCACTGTTATTGACAAGTGAAAACTGTTGGCAATTTCCAGCAGCTCTAAATAGTCCAAGAAACTGCATTTATTGGATCATGGATTTTCATAATTTGGTCGTGGAAAAGTCATGGAATTTAATTTCCTTCAGGTGTAGAAACCCTGTTATGTGTACTTTGTGCTGTGCAGACCGAAGATGCACACTTATAAGTTAGCAAAATGGGACTTGGGGTTACAAGAGAAAACCTCATGCACCTAACAGCTGTCTTAAAGTACCTGAAAATACTTTACTACCTGAAGATAATGTAGTGAGACACTCAAACCTCCAAGATGGCTACCACACACTATGTTTCTATCAAAATCATCCATTTTGTGTACATGTATTTGTTGCACGGCATCCCAGAAATAGCATCCGTAAAACTTGCAGACTCAATGTTACATGCTGATAGACTTGCGTATCATGTACATGTACATCTTGACTCATGACAAACTGGGTGGGCATGCATGCTTGCCTTTAGAAGACAGTAGTAGTTGTAAGAGTGTGGTCCTTCCTCTTTGTTCAGATCATCCTGAATTGTTCAGCCCTCCCCTACCTCTTGCACCTGTTGAGTAGCCCCAAGGAATCCATCAGGAAAGAAGCCTGCTGGACAATATCCAACATCACTGCAGGAAACAGACAGCAGATCCAGGTATGGAACATCACACACACACACACACACACACACACACACACACACACACACACACCGGAATTCATGTCTTTGTAGGAGACATTGCTTTATTCTTGAGTTCTAAAATGTGGGTGTGGAGTGTTGTTTTCACCATGCTCCATTTTGAACCAGCTTTATTTTCCTGGGTTGGATTTTGCCCAAATGTCTTTCATATTAAAAAAGTGCAGTTTAACATGGATAATGGCACATTTGAAATGACTTCTCTTCGAGTAAATTTCAAGCATCTTTTTCATGAAATCCTTCCGGGCACCTGTTCATCTCTAGTTCCCTTCTTTTCAACCTGTTTTCCTGTGTTTCTACAAAGCCCCCTATTTGCACCCACGTCCTTTGTGTAGTGAATTGCTCATGGCACTCTCGAGCCATGAGCTCAGAACTCGTCTCCACAGAACTCCCCAGCCACAAATTCTGCCTGGGAAATTTTTTCAGTTTGGCAAACATCAGCGGACAACCAGTCACAACAGACACATAATGAGTGGTACTTTGGCTGGCAATATGGGAAGTTGTTAGGCGTAGGGAGTTTCTATACTTTGCAGCTCTTTGAAACTTGCCCTGGTTGTCACTTTAGACTTTACTGTAATTGTCCTCATCCATTCACCACCGCGTTTGATAAATATGCATCTCTTTGATGAATATGCATCCGTTTGATGAATATGCATCTTAAGTTAACAAGCTTTACACAGTGCTGCTCTGAAGTACTAAGCATGTTTGCTTTCTCTCCTTTCTCAAAAGTGCGTCATCGATGCCAACATCATCCCTGCTCTAGTCGATGTTCTGGGAAAGGCGGAGTTCAAGACGAGAAAAGAGGCCGCCTGGGCCATCACCAATGCCACATCAGGGGGCAGCCCAGAACAGATCAGGTAGGTTGGATTGGCAAATACATGCAGGCAGCTTCAGTTGACTGTACATCAGGCACACTTAAGCATTGCCATTAGATTCCATGTGAAATTGCTGGCCCTCTCAGTTCAGCTTTTCTGCAACGATCTCTTTGATATGGCAAAGTGCCTGATCTGAGTGTTCAAATGACGCCTAAAGAGAGAGCGTATAGAGTATCCCTCACTTTTAACTGTAGGTTTCTTTTTGATAAGGAATGTCAACTTTTCCCCGACAGAATCAATTGTTTGTGGGCACTCAGTGATCAGTTAAAAGACATCCGTTTTGATTTGCACAGGTTCATCGTGGAGCATAACTGCATTCCCCCCCTGTGCGACCTCCTTAACGTCATGGATCCCAAGATAGTCCATGTGGCCCTCAACGGCCTGGAGAACATCCTGAAGCTGGGCGAGCAGGATGCCAAGTCCATGGATGGACAAAACGGGCAGAACCAGTACGCCCTCATGGTTGAACAATGCCAAGGTAGGCAGTCCAGGGTGGTGTTTTTCAGGCGCAATTCAAAACATGACTCTGCAATTTTGGTTTGAAATGAGAATATTGTTTTTCTCCGAATACAGAATATTCAACTCAGATCCAACCCTGTAAAACACCCTTTAGATATTGAGCACTTCTGTTATCTCAAAGGAATGTAATGCTCAAATAATGGACAGTACCTTCAGAGCTCATATGCAGGATATCCATTCTGGACAAAGTTGTCCTCTCAGTCAAAACCAGTCTGGTGACTGTTTTCAACTGCTTAGAGTCCTTTGCCTACATGAAGCAGAATTGACTGGCCATGGCTATTGATATAATTTGATATAGCTGTACTTTGACTGTCCGTGATTGATAATCACGGACAGTCAAAGTACAGCATTTGATATTGATTATAGCTTTGTCTACCAGTTGCCTGTTTTTGTCTGTTGTCTGAATTAGGCTGGCCATGGTGCCAAGCAGAATTATGATCTGACTGTTGGTGACTGTCCTGTGTATGAGAGTAGCATGGGGAAGGGAATGGAAATTTTGACTGTCAGTGACTGTTACAACGTTAAGGGGGGGGTAATACTGTCAGACGATTCCCTGCTGATTTCAGTTATTTCAGTTCACTGTACAGCAAATGTATTTTCTTCCCCACAGCATCTTGATAAACTTGAGACCTGAGCCAAGTATTGCATAGTTGATTGGTATTGATCAAAGCCACATCACCAGTATCGACCCTGGTTTTATAATCTGCTTCTTCCCCTCCCGGGCAGGTGTTGATAAGATAGAGTTCCTACAGTCACATGCAAACCAGGAGATCTACCAGAAGGCCTTTGACATCATCGAGCGTTACTTCAGCTCGGACGACGAGGACAACAAGATGGCCCCCAAGATCGCTGAGAATGCCCAAGTCTTTGAGTTCGCGCCACCACAGGAAAACATCGAAGACCTGCAGTTCTGAAAGACACCTCACATCGCGTGCCGTGGGAGGAGTGGTGTGGAGTTTGACTGTGGGAGTTGTGAGTGTTAACTAAGGGGTTTTTTCCCTTTTGCCGAGGAGGTAACGTGAGTGGATATTGATAATGCTTAAACTTGTCAAGTGACTTTAACAAGATTTACTCTTGGAAGCCATGTTGGTAAACAATATCTGTACAGTTTCCTTTGGTCAGATTAAATACAGTTAAACTCATTCATGGTGGTTCTGTCTACCTTCCAAAAGTCGGCTATTTACCATGAACGACACGTGTTCCCGCGCGATAAACATTTTCTTCAAATGCCTTGATAACTGCTCTATATCTCTGTCCAGACAACACAAGGCGCCGAGTACAGTAGGGCACTTTGTGAACAGAAGTGTTTTCATTTCCTGTCGTGTTCCTGATGGTGTATGGGTGTTTATTGACTTTGGTGATTTCCAGGTTGTCAGAGTTGTTAAGATTTAAAAACAAAATGAATGTTAAATTCAGATCCGAGTATTAAAGTGTTTGCTTACTCTTGGATGCCTTTTGGTAGCGATAGATGTGAACTTCCAAGAAGCAAGGAGTGTTTGCCACCTTGAGTTGATGGCATTGGGGCAAGAGCTAGAAGTGATATGTGGGGCACGAGTTGGAACATGCGTGTCAGTTGGGAATGAGGAGTGCGTGTGTGTGTGTGACACAGAGAGAATAGGCAGGTGACAGTGACAGGTGGAGTGATAGAACAGTGGGTTGACAGTGAGAGTTGAGCGCACTTGTAAGTGGAAAAAAAGTTGAGAGCATCATTACCTTTAATAGACACATGCATAAGTCCTTAAAGATGCTACATCTCCTGACTTCCTTCATTTTGTTACTCTAGTGGCCTTGAATACTCTCACGTCAGACTTCCCACCCATGGATGATCCTCATAAATTGGATCTCCATTTCCATCAGCAAGACATAACGCATCCCCGTATGTGAGAATTTCTTGAACAATTATCAGAAGAAAGCACAGCATACTCACTGCCTACATGAACCAGTCTCTGCCAAAATGTGCAGAAAAGCATCATTCAGTACATTTCTTTGTTAGTGTTTTTGACATTGAAATTCCTTGTGTGAAAAAAATGCAGTTATTTTTTAAAAAATTGTTCAGCGCCTCTAGCCAATTTGACAGGCCATTGGCAGGGTGCTTTCTTGAAATAATTTTGCATAAATGCTGAACAAGTGGCAAGCCTTTTAAGTTGTCATTCTTGTTCAAGCGACATGCAACCCAAGCAGATAATTGTTTCAAATCCAAACGACAATAAAGAAGTCTTGATGGAATTAAGAGTTTGCATTTCAGGTATGTGGGTAATGACTACATTTCAAGTCATGGGATGTTTGTATATTCCAGACAAACACTCACGTAGTTTTGTTGTGTGCGCAGGGTCAATTTTATGATGCTTATGTTTTGCTGATTTTCATACATTGTGAAGAGTCAATCTCTGAAACGGTGAGAGTTTTTTATTAAGATGATTTCATACAAATGCTGCTTCAGGAATCTATCTACAGGTTCATCTAGCATGTGAGTGGGAAGATAGTTTATAAAAAAATCTTGAAAATATATTAAAAAAAAAAAATTGAGAAAAACTGAGGTGAAAAGGTTGAGAACAAAGCATTCAAGTGAGCAGAGAAGAGATAACTTACAAAAAAAGAAAAGAAAATGAAAAAAAAGCCGAAAAAGCATTTTAAAAACCAGCCGAAAAAAATTGACGAAATATTAAATACAATTATGAATATTCAACAGTGTGTGATGTGGGGGAGCTGAGTTGAAGGAGTTTTTAATGATGCGGGTCAAACCAGCTATTTTGAGCGATTGTATGTTTTTGTAAGCGTACTGGTAAGTGTGTCATTCCTGTTAAACAGTGTGTTGTGCATTTTATGTAGAGAAAAAAAAAAGAGATCTGGTCTAAAGATGTACCGATACCTGTAATGAGAATCAGTCGTTTGTGTTGATAACTTAGGGTAACGGCATGTTGTCAAGTGTATGAAGTTTTTTCCCCTGTGGTTTGTTTTGAAGTGACATATAAAGAATATTGCCCTGATGCCACGGTGCGTAAATTGCCCCGGAGCATTGCACACAGAGAGAAATTTTCTGAGGGCTGCATGCCGCCCTGGTTAGTTACATGGCGGATGGTGCACCAGTTGGCTACATGCACTTCACCCACGTGCACATCTTGCCCGATTTATATATTAACCCAGAGAGAGGTACATGTACACTGCCCAGGAGAAGGGCCAAAATATACATGTACACCTGTTGGGTGCATAAAATGTTTTGGTAGGTGTCATTCAGTTGTATATGTGACAGCACATCACCCTGGTGGTGTATTTCTCCACCAATGACAAGCTGTAAGAACCTTGCATGTTGCTGTGCATGAAATGTTTGGCATTGTCTTTGGCTCTTGGCAATGATAAGAATGTACATGTAGAACATACACGGAGATCCCCCGGATGATGGACAGAGTGCTGCGAAGATGTGAAAGTGTAATTTTAAAAAGTGCTGCATGAAATGGTTCGATCATTTCATTTTTGCTTGAAGATTTCTTTGTTCCCCTCCTTTTTTGCCTCTTTGATGTAAAGCAGTCCGATGTTTACAGAGTTGCTTGGCAGAACTTTTCTCACTAAATAAATGTTACCCTTTAATTTTCTTGATTGCCTGTTTTTCTCCTTGCATTGCCTGTTTGTCTCCATTTCCAACGTCACACTTTCTGCCAAGCAGCTGCTGAAAATATACCCCCACCAGAAAACACAGAAGCTTGGCTGAATTTGAAGTAAACAAGCAAGATAACTTCCACTGCTTAGAAAGTAAACTAATCATTTTTCAAGGTACATGTACCTCAGTGTTTTTTTGTATTGCTTTGTCTCAAGAGCCATGTCACTTCCAGTTGTTGTTTTAGAGACAGTATAACCTGTAATTTTCTGAAAAACTGGAGCCCCTGTTAGTTTGAAAATCCTCTCAAATGTTTTTTCTAAAGTCACCGATAGTCTTGTGTGGTTCTCAAAGAACTTACATAAGAATAGAGTTCCAACAGTTCTTTTTTTCTGTCGTTCTTAAATCTTCACATAAGTTTAATCACTCTTTTCTTTGATGGTATGATTGATGAACAAAATACGTAATTATTTCTTTCAGCTGTCCCGTTAACTCCATTTCAGTGAGCATGCCACTGAATCTGTTATTTGTTCATGTCACTCATTTCTGTTGTATAGAAACCTACATGTGTGTTTCTCGCCAATCAAAGAAAAGCATTTTCCTCATAGGGTGTGTTTCAGTTTGTTTCAATTGTGGAGTTGAATGTAAATGGTCTGAGCTTACTCAGTGTCATTATTTGGGTGATTTTTGTTCTTTCATGCTACTCAGTTCTGTCCAGTGATTTATCAATACTTTGTTTCGATTGATTGGTCTGATTTTTTTTTTGTTGGAAAAAAAATTCAGTTAACTTGACATACTACACCAGATCACGTGCCATCTTTCACATTTGTTTTTGCCACAGCATTGTAGGTAGTGATGTGTATAAAGGAAATCATTCTAAATACATGAGTCTAATTTCCTCAGCCTTGAGGTACCTTTGCAAAAAGAAACAAGATTATAAAGTTATCCTGTCTCCTTAAACTGCCATTTTTGTCTGCCAGAAGAAAGTGGATGTCTAAAACAAGCCTAAGCAATTTTTTGTCTTTAAAGGTACATGTACCTTAAAAAAACTCACTGTAGCTCACTAGAAAAAAAATATGTGCCAAGGGTAGTGCTTTTGGGAGTGAACGGTATCTGGTGAAGTACACCTCTTTTTGGACAGAAACAACAGGACTGCTGTTTGGAATATTTTGTGTCCGATGCATGGATGGCCACTATTGCAGTGTGCAAATGATTTAATGCTCATATACAGAACATGCTCTTTTTACGGGTACCTCAAGGTTTTAGAAGGAATCATGTATTTTGGAATGCCAAAAAAAAGTTTAAAACTACGAAGACCAGTGACCAGCCCATTAATTTCTTTTTGAAATATAGACTACATACTAGCTCAAGAACATGTTATTCTTGTATTTTTTTGTTCACACAGTAGTCATTCAACTGGTTTGAGTGAATTACCAAAAAGAAAATGAAAGAATCAAGAGTTACAAGAAATTTATTTCCTTGCGGCTGGTCACAACATTCTATGTATGTAGTGTAGAGAATTTAATTAACCGGCTGCATATGCCTAGAATAAATGTTATAAGATATGTGCAAAATGTGTGTACAGACAAAAAAACATGCAAACACATGTTAAAATTATAAAGACATGTCAACAACTTAAAATGTTTGTATACCACTTAATACACATGTTGATTATACATAGTACTTGATATGTGTACATGTACATACTAAATGGTACATTTCACACCATGAAATGACATACTTTTTATTTTTTACAAAAAAAGAAAACGCTTACAAGCCTACATGCATTTAAATATATTGTTACAAAAAATGAGTGCAAGAATTTAAAGAAAAATTGAAATTGTTAAATATATTAAAACATCTGATTGTCACAACATTACAACATCACTGAACATTTTATAAAAGTTTGCAATATTTTGGCACAATGTTCTTCTTTGTTTTTGTACCAGTGACGACATAACATGCCACCTAGCATGACTTGAAATACAGAAGCAAAAAAGTGTGTGTCCTTTTTTTTTTCAGTATTTTTCCATCTGGGCCAGAATACCTTTTTTTTTAACCATTAAGTAAATATAAACACAATCCTATGCAAGTTCCAAGTATCATTTCAGATTTGTTTGTCTAGTTCATCGCAGCTTTGTGTAGAGATAAGTACCAAAAAGTAATAAGATAACAAACTTGTTTGGCTATCCCAGACCACACATTTCTACTACTTACCTCAAAATGATTTCTCATATCGATACATTTCTTCTCCTCAGGAAGCTCTTCAGAGAGATCAATATTTTGTTGCATTCGTGAATTTAAAATGATTCAATCAATTGACTACAGGTGTAACAAGAAATCAGTGTCACTGCCCCTATTAGGGCCAGTCCTCTCAGATCCCTGGCAATCTGCCAGAAAATTTGGCCTAAACAAAAATGCCTGGTCCAATTGGAATGCTTTGGGGATCTGAACATGTCAGTGGAATCAGGGTTCGGCATATCATGTACACAGAAATCTCAGAGTTTTCCCAGAGTTTTCTGTGATAAATTTTCAACAGGATAAATGTTTTGATCGTGTCCAGTAGTACACCTCTTCAGTGATGGACATGAACACAAACAGACTGACCACTTCCTCGTCTGGGCCAAATTCCCTGACTTTCCTTGAGACGTGAGTCATTTTTTCTTAACTTCCCTGACTTTCCCTGACTGGAAAAAGGGAAACTCATTTCCCAGCAGGGCTTCAGGCTGAGGCTAAGCCTCACCTAGGGATTCAGAAATATGGCTTAGGTTTCTGAATGTTACGGCTGTGGCTTGCAATGGCGTTGGGTTTACGGCTAGCCAGTGGCTCGCCTTTGAATCTAGTCCCGCGGACACGTTGCACCCAGTCAATTTTGGACACAGCTCTCTACAGATCCTCACCTTACACAATACTGCTGAAGATATCACTCAAAACAGTCTGTAAAGAACGAGAGGGCGTTTTTGCAGGGTTAAGGTCGAGAATGGCTTGTTTGGTTTTTGTGTTTTTGGCAAAGTTGGCAAATGTTTACAGATGTTTGCAAAATATTTAAAGTCTGTTTTGTAAATTATAATTTAATTCTAGAAAGAAAATCTCATTCAGGCATTAAATTAAAATCTTTCAACTGCAGAATAATTGAATTATTTGTTGAAAAAATGAGTGCCTGTAAAGAATAGTTTGCAAACATCTGTGCAAAAAGTTCTACTTGAATCACATTTTGTAAAACCAATTTAGACAAAGTCTACAAGTGATAGCTGAAAAGTAAACTTTTCCATTTCTAAAGTGCAATCTAGACTTCTTTTTGGACTTGCTTTCACAAAGACACTTTAGATGAAATTGTGTACCTTTCTTATTATTTTGATGGATAATTATTGTTTTTCACGTGTATCGTTACAGACAACCTGTGATTACTTGAAAAAAAATACAAAAACCTATTGAAAATGGTTTGGTTGCTGTAATTATGCTTGAACGCGCCTCGCACTTAATTTTGGGAAGTGCTTGACACAGTATAAGTGCACCAGATTTGCACTCAAGTAATCGGAATATTACTGCCTTATCGGAATGACTGAATGCAAAACAGCAAGTACGAGTCTTGTTTCACACCAAGTATTAGTTCTCTAACTTGACACAGTTGCAAGGAAATATAAATATTCATTCCATTTTTGGCCTTTTCAGGGTGAAAACAGTAACTGATTTTTTGAAGGAAAACATGTCTTTCTACATTTTTTTCTATCTGTTGGGAGCTTGAAAAAGTACCAGAAATATATTTGTCAGGTAAAGTCAATTGTACTCCGAATTTAGTAATACCTTGCAATTTGATCAACAAAAATTAAGAATTGATGAAATTAGAAGTGTAAACTCAAAATTATCATTATGCAGCTCATTTTCTGATTAAGAGGAGCTGCAATTAAATATAAAGTTTTATTGAAACAAGAAATTACCATAAGATTCAAATATTTTATAGGGTTTTGCTGTTTTTGTGCTTCCATTAAGTAATTGACACATTTTCCCCCATAAGATTCCTTCTGTAGCTTGGGTTATGGAAAGGCAGCTTTTTACTGTGTTGAAAATTAGAAGCAGTTGTAAACAATTCTCACAACCAGTTGTCATTCTTTTGCTTTTTTATGTGTCCTGCCTTGGGTTCCTTAGTCTCTTTATGTCCCTTCAGTTTGTGAACTATTAAGCTGCAAAACCTAATATTTGTGTTTTCATTTCAATCTCTGAAAAAATCCAGATTTGTTTTTATTTTAGAAACCTTAGAATAATCCAGTATTATAAATGAAAAAACTCGCCATCAATTGTATGATTTATTTATTTTTGCAAAGACCATAGCTGTAATGATATGCAGATGACCTATTTTGGCCCAGAAATTTTTTTTGACAAAATGCAATATTCACACTTTAGAGTTGGGGAATTATAGAAAACATTTCAGATTGTTGTATGGAAATTGACACACACTACCATTTTTTTAAATTTTTACCTACTCATTAAACACATAAAGTTGCAAACATACATGTACGCATTTGACCACTCCACTCATACTTACCTTGCATACACAATACCCATGTATACTTACGTGTATGTTACATACCTAGTGTGGAAATCCCTTTTTGTCTTGCAGTTAAAAACTCGGTAAAAATACTCAATTTTTCTTAAACTGGGAATACGATTTTCATAAAATGTTTCTCTGACTGTTCCTCTTCATTTATTATGATAACCGTAACCCAAAAGGCCTCAAAATTTCCCTCAGGAGAAGGGGAAACGTCCTGTGGATGTGGGTGAGTCCACGGAACGTTTTTTTCTTTTCTGTATCCTGTGGACATCTTTTGTTCACCAGTCTACACTAGGTATGTAAGGTTTACGCTGAACTAACATACTGTACATGCACAGTCCTGCTATGCATTTGTGTACAATCGTAACTCCACTTTCCTGTGAAATTCTCTGTTTTGTGTTTAGTTTGCGCTTATATTGTATGTATTCTGCCTGATATTCATTTCAGTTCTGGAGTGATTGTCATGGCTAACAGGAATTTTTTTTTTTTACATGTGGGCTGAAACTTTTTTCAATCCACTTTTGACAGGATAAACCTGAATTTAGAATCATCGTGGATCTCAAGTCTGAAAAACTTGTACTAAATTTGCTTTGGGTACTATTCTGTGTAAGTTCTTCACTTACATGTAGGTGTTGGACAAGGTGCAGAGATAGCCGGTGGTTATGAAATCTGACTAGTTTTGTGAAGCCACGATTTTGCCAGACACAGAAGTTATGTTGAAAGCCAAAAGTTCGTAAGTCTGGATATTGTACACTTATGCATAGTATTGACACAGCTTCCATTTTCTACAAACATGTCAACAGACATAACTTTCCCAAGATGCTGTCTGAAATTTGCCACCATTGACACAAATGTTTCCATTACAGTGCTCTCAAAAAAGTTCACATTCAACCACACTCAACTATGAATAGCTATAAAACATTGCACGTTCACATAGTTCAAACACAACATACATACCCAACACTTTAATACCCAACAATCCTCACAGTAACAGACATGAAACACCCAGAACTTGAAGAAAAAGACTTCTACAGAGCGCAAACGCTAACACTGTGTACATGTATATAGCATGATAACTGTTAACTTGTTTAAAGGAATTTAACATATATAGTTACAGTTACCGTGAAAAATGACAGGTTATGTTTACCGGTGCATATGTAAAAGGGGAGATTTGGGCTAACAGGTCTTTAGCAATATTCTGGACTAGAGGTTTACTTCCTCTCACCTCGTATTTCTCCTTTTGCAGATTAGAAAAATGTTGAAGGAAAAATTCTGACATAGCTGCAATTAATGTTACAAATCTCTCAAATGATGTTTGCTGAGGTGGCAGGAATTGGCCCCTTCTTTCCCCAGCCTCAGTTCTCTTTGGGGTCAAGAAATATGCCACCCCAAAAATGGTTGGGGGAGGGGGATTTTATAATACAGAACGAATGAGCCTGTTTGATACCGGTATTTCAAAAAGGCAGTCATTTGAGAACAAAGCATCCATGCAACTTGCCGTTTCCCAAAATGACCTCTGGCAGGTTTCAGTTGGGGCATGTGCTGTTGGAATATCAAACTGGGTAATGAGGGTGTTACTTCGGGTCATTCCCACTAGTATGTCAAGCATTGATGGTTAAGAGGTGATCATTAGGGATGGGGGATTTGTAAATGACCAGGTTGCTAATCCATCAGTTACTTTACTGTCAAGGTTATTCAGCTCATTGTACACTGCACTGCCCAAGTTACCTGGCAGCAAATTGGTCAGGGAGTCATACCATAGAGCTACAAACCTAGCTCTATGGTCATACACATATATGTATATTGCACACGGACTGATGTGCATACTGTAGTTTATTGAATACAGCAACTATATGCTCATAACACTCCGACTAGGCTATGCAGGGGCATGGCAGTTATTTTCATGTACATGTAATTCACAGTCCAGAAACATGGTGATACATGTATTTCTCAGCTAAAACTGATTTTGTGGACTTCAAGTTATCATCTGTGAAAGGATTTGTAACATTAATTTCAGTGGTGATATCTTTAAAAGCAGAAATGAGAATGAACAGTCCTGTCAAATGTCTTTAGTCTATTTTCAAATTTCTGGTTAATGTATAACTGGTGGGTTACTGCATGTTTATTGAAGGCATGTTGTTTGATCAGTTAGGTCCAGTTAAAATAAACATTCAAGACTCCAAAACGCTTACTTTCTTGAAATTTTTCAAAGAATTTATTATATATTCAAATTTTGATAAACAGTATAATTTCCAGAAATGATGTTTTATTGATCACAAAAATCTAAGAAATTGTGGTTTTTAACGCACCATTTCATACAAAATTTTATGGGGCGTCACATCGGGATACTTGAATCTTATTGTCAAGTGATATAAAAAGATCAATAAAATCCATTCGGTTACAGAAATTTAAATATGTGTTGAGTCAGTTTTTAGTTGTAGTTCATCTACCGGTACTGTATTACTTATTCTATTCCCCTTACCCCAGGGCTGTCTTATCCTCACAGTAATGGCCATCAGTGAAGCACAGATTCACCCCTGTGGAAGCACTAAAAAACAATAGAGGGATCCCAATACGACGCTTTTAGCGTCGATCTGCGCACTTCCGCATTTGAAAACGAGGCTGTATGTGTCAGCTTCAATTCTTAATACGATCAAACGACTGAAAGTAAGGAGTCAAGGCACAAAGTACATAACGGTATGTTAAATTCAGACTTTTCAGGCTGCAAACTTTTGTGGAAAAGTCTTTCAGGATGACTCGACACATAAAATCAAAAGAAAAAATAACGACAATTGACTGCGAACTAACGTACCTGTGGTGGCCCTGCATCTTGTGCAGTGGGCGTGGTTTAAAATGAAGTGGCGTCACACTTACGAACCGGATACTCCATGTACTGTGTGGACTCTGCGGGCGCGCCCAACGAAGTTCAACACAGAGAGCCTCGGTTTCGATGCAAATATGCACAGACGGCGCTAATATGAAATCCCTCTATTACTTGCTCTGAAAAAAAAAGGACCCAGATTCCCGATGGGAGTCTTGAACATAGCTTAATGATGAATCAGAGCATTGTAAGGGGTTTGGGGCTCACCATAGGGTAGACTGAAAACATGCTGCATTCCCTCCCTAGGAGGTTGAAAATGAAATCATTTTTTGGAGGGCTACTGAAAACTCATCGGCTATAGAATGTTGTACACTGCAGTGTAAAATCAATGGCAGAGGTCGCAATTTCATAATGCCCTTTATCTGGAAGGAAAGTTGTCTGTTGTCCAAGGAGGTGTGACTGGCTAGCTTCTGTGGCACGCCAATGGCAGATCAGTGACTAGTCATACAACACCCAACAGATCGAGTGTGCCCTTTAGGTCACATGACTTACAGCGGGTATCAAACATCAGCAAACATAGTGTCTTCCAATAGGACAGTGTGTACAAGTATCATTTACCAAAAGTAAAGCTGATGGTCAGTACAGTACTCCGCATCCGATTGATGTTCTGAGCACTATACCAAAAATCGGCTGTATTTTTGGTAAACAACACTTAGGCCACACTTAGCTATGGAACTACACCATGTTCGTTGATGTTTGATACCCATCAGTGTCTCAACATGTTTTCTATCGGGTTAAATAAACCCAAAAACTGAAGCCTGATGCCGCATTGGAGATGAAGCCCAGATTTAGAATTAGAAAACACACCCTGAAACCAATGGCTTATTTGCCTGGTACATAAATCACTTAAGCTTCATTATTTACAACACTGAGGGTGTACGGGAAACCAATCCCACACATACATGTACATTGCGCAAGTTCAGCTGCAAGCTAAAATTAAAGTACAATGAGCCACCCTCCTCCTGCACAAAACCTCCCTACTTTAATGCATGTAGATGCTTCTGCAGACAAAAACATTTTCTGAGCACACTGGAATGCCTGCACCGGAACAGTTGGCTCAGTTTGGCAGTACAATCTACTGGTTACCATGCTAGCAAACATGATCTAGTTGGTCTGTTCAAAAACAGTTGGACAGCCATCATCTAGACCTGGCATTTGATGAAAGCTAGTCCTTCATTGCATTTGAATCCTACTATCTCATAATATTGCTACACACACCTCTGGTGGAAAGTGTCATGTCGGCAAAAATGAATCTGATGAGATAGTGCTCACACCTTTAATAGCTTAACTATTTTTAAAAAGACAACGTAGATTGAGTCAGCACAATGCAGTGCACAATCGGTCACACTTTTCACTTTCAGCTGCTTGCAACAACAGAAGTACGCAAGCAAACTCTTCTAAAGAGTCTCGTTTATTTCTGGGCATCTTCCGCAGCAGCCGTCCGGCTGTACATCTCCCGGTGTCGCTTCATGTTCATCCCCGATACGCTTTCGCCCTTCTTAGCCCGAGACCGGCCCATGATGATCATAGAGATAGCTGCCAGGAGCGTGGCCGCACCCATGCCCAGGTTGATGTAGATGCGGAATTTGGTCTTAGAGCTCATAAGGGCAGCCTCACTGTATTAAAGCAAACACAGGAAAAAAGTCAGTGGAGTCCTATAGGCACATACAGTAGAAGGTACATGTAATGTACGTACATTACACGTACATGTATTTCTAATTCTAACAACAGCCACAAGTCAGCAGATTGTATTTGATTCAAGCATCCTGATGATGCAAGCAGGTCATTCTATAAATTAGGGGTCCCATTTTTTCCATGTCCTTGTCACATCTGACATATGATTTTGCAAGTTCAAAACTCACTCTCTAATTTCCAAGAGTGAGAATTGATGCAAATTACCTTCCAAACAAATAGAAACAGTTTGAAATCAATTTCAGTGATATTTTCTTGTCCAAATTACACAGGTCAGGTGTAACAGGGACATAAAGGACCAATTGCTTGAGGCGTGTGATCATGTTGGAATCAAACGGAGCGTTGATGTGCTGTTGCTGGATTCTCTGCCTTTGATAGGAGCCCTACATGTAGCCCAACTAAGTAAGGAGTTAGGATAACAAGTTAGAATATCATATGGTGTAGCATCTCACATCCAAAGTCTGAGGCTAATCGGGCCTTGGGATACACATACCGGTACACACAACGTATAGCTCCAATGTTAAATCTGCTTGTGTGTAAAATTATATTGAAATGGGAGGAGTTACATGTAGTGCTGTGAGGGTCCAATACACATGTAGACTTGTACATAAAATCTATCAACTGTTGAATGCTGTTACAGTGAACAGGGCATAGACAGAACCCTGGGTGGAGGACGGTGACAAGGTTTATTAGAACTGTTCTAAAATTAGCTGACACAGTGAAATACCTTAACATTTGGGTCAACTGGACAGGCCGCAACATCAATTTTTTTTAACCTACTTGTCCATCGAGCAAGTAGCATTGAAAAATTACTTGCCCAAGGTAAGATTTTACTTGCCCAAACCAGGCTTAGTTGCTCATAGCTTCCTGGGAGCGTAAGTTCCTTCTTCGCCACAATACGACATGAATACATGTACATGTATTTTACAGTTTATTCATGTACGCATTTTCCCTTGAGTGGAAAGGTGCCCATCTAAATGTACAGCGTGCTTAATGCGTGCAAGTTTGTGCAAACAAGTACGTAACAATGCAAAAAATTATTGTACACCACCTACTGTACTAGAAGCTGTTTACATTTTACCACTTTTTATAAGCTTTTGTGAAGAGGAAAAAACAAAATCAAAGGTAAATTTGCTGACTGTTATTCTTGGCCACGAAAAACAGACGCTCTTATTTCAAGAAAAAAGTACCTGTCCATCGGGCAAATTGTTCTTAATTTTTTTGCCCAAAAGAAATTGCTTTTCCCAGGCAATCGGACAACCATTAATGTTGAGGCCTGCGAGTGCTTTTGTACTGGACTTTTCTGAGAAGTAATTGCTGGGACTGAATCTTTAAAAAGTTCTTCTGCACTCTTACGAGACTAGTTCAGGCACTTCATCCACCGTCTTGTACTTTCCCGTCCACACAAATATTTTTCGTTCTATGTTGGTTGGTGCTCTGGCACGTACAGTTGCACTCTCGGACGAAGTTGAACTTTCTGGTAAGAACATACAATTAAAATAACGAAACAGTTTCTTTCTTTGCATTGAAACAGTTCTTCCACATCTTGAATTCCATTTTATAAATTATCGAACAAACCACATCAGGAAACCAACTAGGCGCTTACAAGTTCATGATGTTAATTATCAACATGATCAAGATGAACAAAGAAATGGAATGGAGCGGGAACCTGTGACCTCCAGAACACCATACCAGCACTCTACTTCCAGACATGCCAGAACTGTAAGGTTTATACAGACACATTTAGGATTTCCACAAAAAAACGTGTGATAGGCCTAAGTGAACGGCGGTAGAGTGCCGGCTCTACATGGTCTATCTGCCTTGACTTTTAAGTACTAGGGCCTACTGCTAGAAGTACCCCCCCCCAATCAAATGAAAAAAGTGTGTAGTTGGTGGGAAATTTTCGTTTTGTTGGCACCTGCAGCACATGAACATGGCACAACGTTTCTAACACTTACCACTCCCTGTTCTCGAGGTCTGGGGCTCTTGTATTTTTTCCACTTCTTTTCCGGTAGCATACGCTCGAAAAGCTGCAAAAGAACTCAATAGGCCTACTCGTGAGCCGCTCAAGTCATGCATGTTGCCTAACCATGCTAACTGGCCTACGTGTACGTGCGGTACCGAGCGAGCTCGAGTAGACACACAGTTGTTTTGGCAAGTAAACTTTGCCGTCGTGAAATATCTCGAAGAAATCCTTAACCTGGGAATCGCAACCAGTCTCGATGAAGCGAACATTTTAGTCTTGTAGTAAATTCACCAGTGATCAAAATCAGACGGACCAACGTGGTAAATTCCTCCTAAATAAAGAAATAACAGGGGCTTCACCCAACCCAGACTTCTGCCAGATACTTCAAATTGACCGAGTCTGACCTTTGGATCGTGTGCAGTGAGGTCACAGGTTGTCTACGTATATAGCTTCTAACAGGGCCTGTGAATGGATGAAATGTAAAGGGCTTGTACATCTAAGCCAATCAATATACATGTACATGAATGTGTTTAGTGTGAACCACTACAAGCATTGAAATATTAGTAATTACTCCCCGTCAGATGTTTGGACACAGTTTCAAAGTTAGGGACTTCCCACTTGCCGGGTTGGATATGCCTAGCCCAGCTAGGCGTACTACTAGTACTAGGCCTAAGTAACGTCAATGTTCAGTAGGCCAATGGAGCGCAAGGAGTCGAGTCATTTGTGGAGCTTGAGAAAAACGCGAAAGTCTTTGCGGTAATAATTAATAAAACATAGGCCTAGGCCTGATAATGAAGATCTGTCTGCAGTCATGGCAGTAAAGGCCCCATACTTCCTTCCTCCGTGGTTATACTGCAGACTGTAAAGTCATGCATTGTAAAGTTAAATTTAATAAGTAATGTTACAAATCTACAAGCATTGCTTTCATTGGGTACCCTTCTACACTTAGTACAGCATCCTTTCTAACATGTCTAAAGTATATTGTGGTATCATTCAATCATATTTATATATTTATTAAAAGTTTTATTACCGTGTGTGATTATTATGCTGTAGAAAATGATATAAATCTTGAAAGTTGAGACTCGGTGTCATGACTGTGTTCTCAATTCCTCCATTGTCGGGCGATAGTACTAACGTTAGTAGGCCTAATATTACTAGATGTGCAATGTCCACATGTTTAAAATGGCGATTTGTTGAGTCCAAGTTACTCGGACTAGGACTGTCCCAATTTAATTAAGCTAATTTAAGCCTCCTTCAATACAAACATGACAAAGGTCATAAATAGCCCTGAAGTTGACAAATATGTACATGATGTAGGCCTACATGATGTGGGATGTACATGTATATTGTTCATGCATGCCATGGCCGAATGGTAAGTGATAATGTTTCTTTACTCATACATAGTCTTGATCAGATACTTGTCCGTGGTCTAGGTGATTGGGCAGCAAATAATTGATTTTGATGGTGATATTCTTTAGCCTTCGGTTTTTTGCATGCATTCTCATAGAAGGGATGACATCACTAAGTCTTGATTCTTCTCTCTGATTAGTCCATCGGTGGCTGTTCCATATTTCACACTTGGGACTCAAAGGGGTGAAAATAATGTCGTCTGTGGGGAAAATCTGAATCATTGACCAAATGCTTAACCTTTACTTCCAATATGCCTGAAATTTCTCTGTTTATGCGCTATGAGTGTCTCCCACGCTCTATCGAAAAGATTTCAGTTGTTTATATCACTTTGTACATGTAGGAAGAAATGAGAGAAACATACAAACCCCTGTACTAAGTGAAGGGAAAGTTGCCCCCTTGCCCAGATATGAGTGCGATAAATGGAACAACCTCCGACTGAACTTACTGTTTTGTGAGATCTGATGAATTGTTTGGTTCCATGATCATATTATCATTGAGAATTTGTATTGATGAGATGGTGTTCAGACCCAGTGCAATTTTAAACTGTAAAAGGATGATTTTGTGACTTTCTGGGTAGGGGGAAAATTAAATATATCAATTTAGACAAGGCTAATAGGCCTGGGTTGGTATGGTACATGTTCCTGAATTCTTGTCAGTGTCACACTGGTTACATTTCACTGTTAATTTCTAGCACAGATGTGCTTGCTTACTTCTCATTTGAATTCTGATTGCCATGATGTCTCTTGTCCAGATCGAGCAACAATGTCTACTGTGCAGCACTTTAACTGTTGCATATGCGGCCAGGAGAGTCTGACCGAGGCTGACCTCCAAACCCACATGCTGCTGGACCATGAAGAGAGTGCGGGCAGCTGCCCCATGTGCGACCTCCGACATCTGACCCTGGAGGAGTTGAATGTGCACGTGAACACAGCACATTCTGCAGTGTTGAGCCCGGGGAAAACGGGACAGGATCATTCAAGATCATTTACTGGGATGAAGGCTCCCGGTCCATTGAACCATTGTCGAATTTCTTACGGGCAAGAATTATTGGAAAATGAATTAATGATCAGAGGCTGCAATCTTGATGTCAGTAAAGAAGGATGTGCAAACTCGGAAGGAGAACAGCAGTATGAATCCTCCTTCACAAATGCTGTTGGAGCAGGCCAAGCGGTTGACAGAAGTGAGAAGATTGGAGGAACTGGCTCAGAATCAGCAAAGACCTCACCAGACTATTCTACCAGAAACAAGGGAATCAGAAAGAAATCAAGACCCTGTGCGTGCAGCTTTAACGCTGGAAGACCAGGTTCTGGTCACCCTGACAACTCAGAGACCTTGCAATCAAACAATAAATACAGCATAAATGGCTTTGCACATCCAAGCTGCAGCGACCCCTCAGGAAAGCCAGACAGTGTGGGCGACATTAAAGCCCCCGGCCAGGGACAAACATCCGTGCTTGTAGAGCGGAAAAGAACTAGAAGCAAAGCCCAGTTGAACTCTCCAAGTGCCAGCAACAGTGCGGTTGTTGTCAGCTGTCCTGCTGATGATTCCTCGGACAGGTTATCTTTGTCCTCCTTGACAGCAACTGCAAGTCCTCTCAAGAAAATTTTACGATTATTTAGTCCAAGTAAAGGTAACACATGTGAACTTGCAGGAAAAAAAGTAATTCAAGACACCGGGGAGGAGAAAGGGAGGAGGGAAGCTGATCTGAGTATGAATCCAGGTCAAGATGGCAATACATCTGTTCCAGAGTGCCCCTTCTGTGATGCCACAGGTCTTGACTCAGAGGCCATGTTGCGTCACGTTGAACGAGAACACAGTGATGCTTTAGCAAGTCCCCACTCAACGACAAAAGCAGCTGGGGACAAGAACCAGTGGAACACCTCCATGATCCAGAAGGCTGCAGACCTAAAGCCCACACTCTTGAGCCTCAGCAGGCAGGCCCACAACCTGGAGATGGCGATCACGTGCCCCATATGTGGTCTGGGCAGTTATGACCCAGACTTCCTGACTGTGCACATAAACACAGAGCACAAGTTGCTGGATGAAGAAGACCGAGCAGCAGCGGTGCTCACCGTGCCCTCATCAGTCCCTCAGGACGAGGCCGGCCCCAGCACAAGTGCAAATTCACATTCCGAGCGCTCAGTATGCCCTGTTTGTGGGATGAGCGGTTTGAACCCAAAGCTCCTGAACGACCACGTGGAAAATCACTTTGAGGTCGGAGGTCAGGATTCTTTCTCAGGTGACCGACAACTTGCCAGACAGCTAGCTGAACAGGAACGACAGCTACAAGAACGATGGCAAAGAGAAACATTCAAACAGCTTCAGGTACATGTATATGTATTAGCTTCCCCAATCAGAGTTATTACAACACAATCACTGCTCTATGTATGTCTACATTTAAATACTGAGGCCTTATGCAAGTTTTTATTTTTTTACAAAACTTGAAATGTAATTACATTTATACATTTTGTCTGCTTTTTCAAAAAGTTGTCCATCAGTGTCATGAGCAGGTCATTACACTTTTCTGTTAATTTGCCTTGTTCTCAGCTACATGTAACTCCAGCAAACAACCCAATTTCATCCCACTTCTGTTTTTGTTATCTTGAATCTCATACCTTAAAAAAGGCGAAGTACGGCATGGATGAAGTTGGGAGTTACAAGCAACAGTCTGAGAAAGACTTGGAGACAGCCGTAGTCCGGGGCCAAATCACCGTCACCGATTACAACCAACGTAAGACAAGCCTTCAACGATCCCTGGCAGTGGGTGTCGACGACGGAAAGTCTCGTACCTCTGGTGAGTTCGACCGTCGGACCTTTGCAAGGATACTGGGTCATTGGAATGTTAAGCCACACCTTCTTTTCTGTCTCCTTGTTCACACTGCTCTGAAGATTACCTACATACTGTAGGTAGAAGTTGCTGATGGATATGGCAATATTCCCTCATTCGTTTTGGTCAGGTTTGTCTGCAGTTTGTCCCTGCAGATGAAGCTGTTTCAATGTCAACCACAGAACCCATCAGGAATAGTGTAATGATGTCAGATACATTGTACATCCATTTTCATCCACTTTAAATAGCACTTTCCAGTGTTTTACAACCGGTCAAATACATCTGAGATTCCCATTATGTCACACTGTTATGTCATTAATTGTACTAAATATATTGATATAGCCAATAATATCCATGATTCATTAAGGATGCTGGTGATGTCTCTTACACAAAACAAGAGACTGGAAAAAGAGCAAAACACAACTTGGATTTAAATCCAATGTAAAACGATTCCTTTAACACCTTCCAATTTAGGCTTGGTTCAGAAGATGGTGACATACTACACAGAAAAGACGATTCCAGGGTTGAGCTACGCCAAACTGTGCTGCGATGCAGACCACTACTCATCCTCGTACGGTGACAAGGGATGGGGCTGCGGCTATCGCAACCTGCAGATGCTGCTCTCATCTCTGGTTCACATTGACGATTACCGGCAGGTTCTCTTCAGTGGTAATTGCCCATTGTCACCCTGCAGTACATGTAGTGTTAATCAGACAGTGCAGTATGCACTCGCTGTGATACAAAAGTGGCATCCTGTTTGCGTGTAGGCAACAGAGGGCGGTAAACTTGTCCAGTAGAAAAACCTCTCAATGAGAAGCCACATCTGATTCTTCTGTCAATAGATGTGGCTCTTTGAAGGTTGTTGATACATGGATGCATGCTTACATTTGACATAGTAATAATTTTCAATTGTTCACAAGGGCACAGCCTAGGTGAAGAGTGACTGTGAAATGATTCTGTATCTTTTCAGTAACCCAATTTACATTTTGGGGGTCAATTCTGATATTTCCTCAAAATGTGTTGATCCTGTCCTCTGCCCTTCCAGGAAGGAATGCCATCCCGTCCATCTCCAAGCTCCAGCAGCTCATCGAGTCAGCCTGGGCCAAGGGCTTCGACCTCCAGGGACAGGAGCAGCTGGGGGGCTGCTTGGTCAACTCCCGGAAGTGGATCGGCGCCACAGAAATCGCGGCTGTGCTGTCCTCCCTCCGGGCCAAGTGTCGCTTGGTGGACTTCCACCGGCCGACGGGAGCCGGGGGCACCCATCCGGCTATGTTCGAGTGGGTGCGGGACTATTTTGGCAAGCCTAGGTCCAGTAGCCTGAAGCTACGAGTGCTCGGGGGTCATGGTCCCAGAGGAGAGACCATACAGACAAGGAAAACACCATTGTACCTACAACACGAAGGTAAGGTTTGCATGGTGGACGTTGCAATGAGATACAGGGCCCAATTTCATGGTGCTGCTTACCACAAATGAAAAATTGGCGCTTACCGTAGCATAATATTCTGCATTTAGGCTGAAAGTATTTTACAGGTTAGCGAGGAATTTTGGCTTATGCGCGCATGCATACATCCTATAACTAAGGATTCTGTGCTGAAAGGGTTAGCGCAGAATGGACATCGTAAGCGCGGAATTCTGTGGTAAGCAGCGCCACGAAATTGGGCCCAGATCTCAGACAATGCCATCCGATCATCTGCTTTGATGTTTCATCATCGCTTTCTTTGATAATTTTTTTCATAGGGCACAGCAGGACTGTTGTTGGTTGTGAGGTTCACAAAGATGGCTCCATAAGGCTCCTGCTCTTTGACCCCAGCTACCAGGTCAGTGATATGCAAGGACTAGGGTTGGCTAAGCTGGATGAATATGCCATGCGGCCAGTCAGGAAGAGCCTTGCCCAGATGAAATCCAAACAGTACCAGATTGTGAGTGTTGATAGGCTGATGACATCCGATCAAGAATATGAGGTGAGTTGCCTCTTTTAAAGCAATTGACTGGTGACAGACTGCTTCTTTAATGGTTTGAATAAGGCAATTTCATTGGCTCATTTGTGCTATTTATTTGTGAAAATAAAAATGCAGTGTGTTTTAAAACAAGGAAACCATGATTAACTTCTTCATTTTTTGGACATGGCTAGATATTTTGGAGATTGGCAACCACCATTTATTAACTAATGGTGTCCTCTTTCTTATGACACCAAGAAATCTAATTTACTGACACAGATGACTGAATATGAAGTAGTTCAGTCAACCATGTCAGAACTGGTCTTGCACCAGTCATCTGTGAAAGTAAATTGGATTTGTAAGTCGAAATCACAAAACTGCTGCAAACTGCTTGCTGACTACAATGATCTGAAATACAAATCTCAAAATATGGAGGGCCTGACGTTTCCATCCTAGCAGAATCTTTCTCAAATCTTTTTATTGTTGGTTAACTTTCCATGATGCTATGTACTACTTTCTTGTATTGTTATTTTTTTAATTTACCTGAAATCAAATGTGAAGATGGCTTGAATCAATTTCAAACATGTTGTTCTCCCTTCCAGCAAAGTAAAATTCTGCAGTCTGAGAGAAAGCCGTGATTGCAAAGCGTTCAGAAGTCATGAGTGATATCCCTACACACATTACGAAGAGTAATTATATTATTTTTAGTATCAACCTTTACTCATCGAATAAAGGGTATTTAACTGGTGTCTAAATGTTTACAACCTTTACCCCAATCTTGAATCCTCCAATTTCAACAAATTTTTAATCACCCTAAGGGTAAAGGGTGATTAAAAATGTGTAGAAATGGGATGATTCAAGATTGTTAGGATTTTTTCAGGGCCCCAAGCAGTAACAGTTTCCTAGACACATGTTTTTGTGTTATTTGATACTATTCCTCAGTGTATGAAAACAATTTGATGTCCTTTTGGAGTTAAGTGTAGAAAGCATTGTTTTTGACATTTTTCAACTTTTCCATGCCCCAGGACAACAGGCAGCACTGTTGCTGTGACACTGTTTAGTTCATGAGTATTTCTGTTCAAACTGTGAAGCACATTTGAGAGAGGGTTGTTCGGTTCGGTGTCTCATTGTGGTATACCCAAACAAAAGTGAATCTCCAGTGAAACTGAAAATTGAGAACAGCAAAATACCAAACAATTCCAGTACATGCAGTTCTTTCGTGCACAGATCAAGGCAACAGTGAGGTTTCACCGTGGATAGGCATCATGGATCTACTCATTAACATGGAAATTTACATTGTATAACATAAAAAGTGAAAAAAGAACCACCAAATTGTTATCATTTTAAAATGATATCCTTTGGTCAGGGTAATGGTTTAAATATACATGTACAAACAGCAGAGTTTTTACAGGAATTTGCCCTATGAAAAGTGATGATTTGCTTGAACTTTAGTAATATACTGTACATTGACTGTGAAGAATGCCTTCCTTCATTTTGATAAAGCCACTTTAGCTGATATCCCTGTGCATTTTTAACGGCATAAATAAACTAGACATGACAGTATCTGGAGTCTGATTCACTTGTTTAGTGTCCATACACCAGGGCTGAGATTTGTCAGGATTTTCCCTGACTTCAGGATTTTTCAGATAGTCTCTCTTACAATTTGGTAAAACCTGAGTTTACCGCTGTAATGCTTTTGTCTATAACAGCTGATATAGAACAGAAGAAATAGATATTTTAAGGGGTGACTTGAGGCAAACACAAAATGTACATGTATACAGAGACCTTATGCTGGTGAGGGCTCTCATACACCCCCGTGATCATTATTTCGTGGATTTTACTCCCCGATCTTAACCCTGATACACAGTTTCCTGTGTGCGCTTTGTGGAAATTTTGCATCCAGTATTATTTTGAGATCATGTGAAGTGAGCATTGTCAAATATGTCTTATTTGTACCCAATAGAAAGCATTATAATTTGAACTAGAAAAAATGGGAACAAATTCAGAAAATATGTTTTAAAAAATGTACAAATATCTTCACTGAAGGACCCGTTTTAATCCCGTCTTGTCAACAGGGGGCTTTATATTTTGAAAGAGCCGATTCGCCATATCCATGATTTGTTGCACACGTGGGTGATAAGGTTTACTTTGCGTAATTCTAGTTTGTGTTTTTGTTTTAATTGGAAACATTGTCATTGAAGCAAACACTGAAATTCTGGACCACAACTGCTTGTTCACTTATTTAATTCATTTAAAGAGAACTACCTTTCTGGTACATTTTGTACAATATAGCCGTGATCAACTTAATTACGTGACTTGCCCTTTGGAATATTTGCTTGTTTCGTGGGTGAAGGAGATAAACTTTAATTGGCTTTTTTAATAACTCTCTTTTTTTCCCACGAGGCCGAGCGGGTCATTTGCAGTTATATCAGTCTGTGCCAGCAGGGCTGTCGTGGGTGAGTGTGAGTAGGAAAACTGGTCCGATCGTGATTCATGTACATGTACATTCACTACACAATTTCCTACAGGCTCATTTTGTTTATATTTATTGGATTACGAGCATGGTATGAATTTCGCAGTATTGGAGAGCAGAATGAACATACATACATACATGTATTTTTCTGAATGGCCTTTCAAAATTCGTCCGACAATATTCGTTGAATGTCCCACACTCACTGCTACATGTAAATATATTTCCATGCTGGCCCTTCCAGATCTATATGATCAAAGTTGTGGACTCGAGTCACTTGACTTGGATTCGAGTTGAACTCGAGTCGCTATTTTTGTGACTCGTGACTTGATTTGTAACTATCAGTTTTTGACTTGTTTCTTGACTTTGACTTAAACATTATGATCTGTTACCAACGCAAATCAGAAAACAACCCAATCGAACCCTTTAAATTAGGCCTGTCAACTTCCGCCTGGCGTTCTTATTGTGTGTAAGACTTCGATCGGCTCGTGACTTCTACTTCGGTCTTGTCTGCCCAAGACCTAGTCTGAATCACTAGCTGAGGTTTGAAATCACACATCGCACGACTTTGACTCGTACTTGGACAAAAAGACTTCCGACTTAAGTTGCTTTTGTTTGGACCGAATTGACTCGTGACTTGACTTTGCCTGTGATCAAATGACTTGTGACTTGGCTTAGAGTAGACTTGCAAAAATTAATTTGTGACTTGACTTCGACTTGACTTGCATCTTACATAAGCCCCCCCTCAAAAAAAAGAAGAAAACTCTGCAACTCCTTGTAAAAGTCAGAAAAATATTTGGCCACGATGAGCAGAGGAGTAGATGAACTGGTCCCCGTCCCTGTGGCCTTGGCGGCAAGACGACTTGTGAGCGGGCCATGGAAAACGTACAGGGGTGCAATTTTGATAGATTTCTCTAAAGCATTCTGTGTTTGTTCATTTGTTTCTTCAGGAAATCCCATTAAATCGTTTTTGATATTAGTTTCTAATCTCAGCAGGATTTTTAGTGCTTTGCAAAATGACAACAATTGTGCTCTTTCGAGATTGCCGTAGCTAAGTCGATCTCATTTCGTGCTGTTTTATAGCAAAACGACTGAATGGGATTTTCTGAAGAAAAAAGTGAATAAAGCCAGAAAACCTGAGATAGACATGATCAAAATCGCATCCCTGTGCGTTTTCAGTGGCCCCTCACACTTTTTGCCGCCAGGGCCATTTATGCGCACTATGTGTGCAAATTGTGGAGTGGCGTATTAGCATAATGGAGATCAAAGCGTTTTCACTAATTAATTCATAATTTTGCACGCATGCGCATGGTCCATTGCAAAATGTACAGGAGTGCGAGTTTGATGATCATTTTCTGTCAGGTTTTCTTGCTTTGTTCATTTTTTCTTCAGAAAAATCACATTAAATCGTTTTTGCCATTAGTTTCTAATCCGAGCCGGACTTTTAGTGCTCTGTAAATAAAAAGAGATTGATGATTTTTCCTATGGGCACGAGACCGTCGTTTCTTAGTATGGCCCCCTTCCATCATAAGTAGTATAAGTAGTTCTTGGAGGCAGTTAGAAAAGCCCTTGACGGTACATCGGCCAGGCAGTTCGAGTCGATTATATGCAGTTATAATATTTTATTTTCTAGGAGGGGGGTTTGTTGGTAAGAGGATGTTTTTATAATAGGAAAGTAAAGCCCGACATTTACCTTCAAAATTAAGTTTCTAAGTGTCCACCAAATTGATCGAGCTTGAAGTTAACCACGCCCATATATGATTTCTTTTATTATTCAGTCATTCTAATGCAGCAGTAGCCCTTTTCGAGCAGTGAAATTTGTTAATTTCCTTTGTTCCTGTCAAAAAAATCATGATGTTCTTGCATCCGTAGTTTTCCCAAGAATTTGAAACACAAAGGTGAAGACAGCGCTGAACTGAAGGCCATTCTGATGCTCATTAGCTGGCTACATTTTTTTTAAAGCCAGATTCAAGAAATTAACTTGGTTAACGCTGTGATTTTATTCTATCTCAGCAAGTCATTATACATAACCGATTTAAAGTCGAGTTGATAATCGAATAATATAGAATTTAGTGCGGTTAAATCGTATCGATAAAAGTGCTTTATGATATATCAAGGATCGGTACTGGCTTTTGTTGACGCTAAATGACGATGTTAGATGAAATGACTTAATATCACTTAAAAAAGTAGCACTTTTCGTTTTATCGTGTATATCATGACTAAGTCCTTTGTAAATATATACATGTATGGGACATATCTCCAGAAAAACTCCTATAAGATATATTTTCAACGGTTTATATCGCACGCCATACGCACTATGTTGTCAACACGCCGTGCGGCGTCTCCGTGAGACTAAAACATCCACTAGTATCGATTACTGGTTACGGATCTTCACCGTTTGAATAGAACACCCCCGTATTTTCGTCATAATTTATCCCTTGTCTTGCTTCGCTAGTTAGTTTTAGGAACGTGTCATATACTCCTTGCATCCGTCTGCCACGTGTGCTGTGATAGGCCCCTACACGTAAGCTGATGTTTCTATTTTTTATAAATCAATCTGTAAGTGTGTTATTGATAATTGTAACGGCATAGGCCTAAGGATGTTTCACCAGTTTTAGATTTCTATAGTTCGGATCTGATGCGAGCCGTGCCCCTTGCCAGTCTGATTGTGTTTGACTCGCTAATTGTAGCGTATTTTCATTGTTTGACGCTTTGATCTAATGGTGTGGGTTATACGGCAACTGATATTTTTTGAATATTTAGAACTAGTTGTTTTACTCTGTTCCGTGCGTTCTTTGTTACTGCATCGTTGCATTTAAAAAATGTTCATTGTGTGTCCCATTTCTGTTGCATCCGTTACTGCATGTTTTCTTCCCTTCCTACTCAAAACTCTCACTCAGTATGACATTTTAGCATAGTCTTGCGATTCCACAATTTTTGCCCAGAGAGAATTCCTGTTCAAGGGCTTGGTTATGATTTTTGCCTGATTACATCACTGCATCCTTGTAGCCTGAGAGGACTGAGAGAGAGTGTTAACTTCTCCGCAGACCTCAGTTCGATTGTGTATATGAGGTTGGATATTTTTGTTGGAGTTGAAATGTTTAATATGTTCAAATAAGTTGTCTAAAATTATCGGTTCTTTTAGCCATTCTAGGTATAGTATTTTTGTACATTTTTCATCGATATATTGGTGTTCATAAGATTGGTGTTCATTATATCACTCTGCGCCATAGACCAGTTCATTCACTAAGTGTACATGCGCATAAATGGCATACACGGAAAGGCTTCAAAGTAGGTTAACCGGGATTTTCGTTTTTACGAGGAGACGCAAGCTCTGTTACATTCACAGTAGTCGGAAAAGGAGGTTATGTGGAACGGCGTGCGTCATATCCATATCATAAATTTTTTCAACATTAATTCAGATTTGCATAAAATACATACTGTATGACTTTACATTGGGCAACCCACAACTTAATTTATGCTAAAAAGAATAAATTTGTATGATAGGCCTATGCTATGACGCACGTCGTTCTGCGTGACCTTTTCCGACTACCGCTGAATATGCGGTTGGACCATTGATCTCCGTTATATTATAATCATGGAGATCAAACGGTTCGAATGTCGGGCTGAATACGATTCACGCTGGTGCATAAGTGGTGCATAGTACCCTGAAGTACAAAACTGGTTTGGACATGTGGCCAGGATGCCCAACGATCAATTACCAAATCAACTCCTCTATGGGAAATTGTCCGAGGGGAAAAGATCCCGTGGTGGTCCCAGGAAGCGCTTCACCGATCAAGTGAAAGCTACGCTTAGGAATTTCGGATCGGATCTGATGTGAACAACTGGGAAGAAACTATTCAAAACAGGGCAGCTTGGATGCGCCTCTGCCAACAAGGAATTCAGACAACCGAGTCCAAAAGACGTCAAGAAGCGGATAAGAAACGCGCTCGCCGAAAGAGAGAAGGCAGGCCGAACTCCAACAAAGTCTCATCCAACCTGCCTTCCAATGCTCCTTTTGTGACAGGTCACCAAAGAACCCACCGGTGAGATAAGTCTTCTTCTACCGATCCTCGATAGCGAGGTGGCCAACGACGGAAAACAGTTTAATTAGCCTTTTGCACATAAACATAACAATTCAACAGAGCTTGAGCAAGTGGTTCAGAACACTGCTTCAGCGCTGCTTGAACCAGCGAAATCAAAGTCTAAGCCGAATCCACTCCTTTTGAAAACGCTCTCAGCCTTTAATAAGACTTATTTTAGTCCTCAACTTCCAGAGATATGATCGTCTGGCGTGAAGTTCATGTGAATTCATGGTGTTTGACATTTGACATCGAGACCTTTTCTTATATATTCTCTCAAAGTGGTCACATACCAAGGCTCTAACGTTCACGCCAAGCATGGGTATAAATCCTTGGGAATGGGGGGGGGCGTATATGTCCCCTCCACTTTTTGGCCAGGGCTGGGTGGGCTATTGAATCATTTCCCCACGTTTTCGTGGCGAGAAAAAAAATTAAAGCAGATTGTAAAGAATAATGTTTTCGGACTTCTCAACAACCAAATAGCACTCAACAACCAAATAGCACTCAACAAGGGAGAGTAATTTTAAAAAGCCGTAAATTTAACAACTAGACATTCAATTGACTACCGAACAAGCGGGTCTCACAAAACAAATTAAACCAAATTTTAGCAGGCAAGATCTCTAGAGGGTAACCACTCAGGGCATTGGTGGCAGTGTGTTATCAAGACGTAACCAGAGAAGCAGAAGACAAAGTCAAGCAGTTGTTTCAAGTCTCGGAGAAACACTTCTGCGATGCCGTCAATAAATTTAGAACCGGTTTATTATAAAATAGGTATGGAAACGCATTCTTTTTATTTGACCAAGAGCGAGCAGACATTTAAACTACAAAATACCATCGATAATTTAAAAAGGTGACAAGGCCGTAAAAGTCAAACAAGTAAGTTTTTACCTGGGATATTTTAATATTACAAAACCCACCGAAATCGAATGGCAAACTCAAGTCGAAGGAAGGCCTGCTGAAAGGAGACCCAAAAGATGTAGGTGTGAAGAACGAGAAAAACCCAATCCACCAGCACCAAGCCCATCAAATACATAATCTCCTAGTCAATATATTATTATTATAAGTATCACAGAAGCACTTGAACTAACAGTGCTTTTGTCAGAATTAGAGGCAGACACGACCAAAAGCACGACCAAGTAAGAATGCTGGCAGCAGACTCCAAACTTAACACCATCGGTGAATACGTTTCCCATGCGATCGAAGACGGTGACGTGTCTCAAGAAGAATTTGCACTAATTCGCAAAGATTTTACAACCCACACATTATGAAAACCAGCATCGCAGTTGAAGGGAAACTGAACCAGCTGTATTCACAAGGTTTATTCGAATATCAACACTGGAACGACATTACCAAGTTCTTTGGTGATTCTGACACCGAATCTAGACGTGCGGTTACGAAAGACCTAAATTTGACAGGTGTTGACATGGGCGGATACCTAACGGGCTGTTGCTCGACTTTCGCAGCTCGGGCGATAACTCGGCGCATGGGTCGTGTAGGCCGCTTGGTGGAGGAGGTGATATTTCGATTTAGCTTGAACGGGAAGCAAAAACTGCAGGTCCGCTATACTTGTACGTGTTCTTAATAATGAATGCCCAGTTAACAGTGGAAGACGGAAATTTTAAAAGTTTAGTTTATTAAAAAACCACCATGTACAAAAATCGGAATTGTGATTTAATTGTCGGAAAGACCGGCAGTGGGAAAACTCGGTGGATATTGGGCCTTTTGGAACGGGAGTACAGGTTTGTATTTGAAGCAATCGTGATCATATGCCCAACCTTGTTTAAAAATAAGACTTATCTCGAAAGGGATATGATTGTACACTGACGACGGTGTATACCTATGCGACTTAGACCTAGAAAAGCTGGACTTAAATGAAGCGTTGGAACTTTACCAAAAAGCATTTGACGGCGTAAATACGTTGTCATCATAGACGATTGTGCCGCTGACCAATTCATCAAATATCGAAAGAAATAAAAAATAGCACGTGTATGTTGAGCAAAATGGCTTTTAGTTCAAGGCATTACTTGCACTCGTGCTGGTTATTAACACCAAAGTATAATTGTTTTTATAAAACGCGTTTTGGGGTTTAGATACTACGTTGCCGGTGACCAAACAAGAAACACGTGAAATAGCTAGTAAACTTTCACAAATTTGCCCTGAAAACATTGAGATGCAAGAAGCTCCTAGAGAAGTCGATCGATTGCCGCATTGGACAAACCTTTACAGACGGTCAAGGGAAAGCTGATATTGAGCCAGGGTATAAAAATTGGACTAGTTAGAGGCAAAGATTCCACAAGTCAGAAACGAATTAGAAGAAGCGATTCGGAAGGAGACCGTGCAAAAATTAAAAAAACAGCTGGACGATTTAGAAATTGAAAGGCGAGGTAGATTAGAAGTCATCAACAGATACTCCGATCAGATTCGTACCCAGATCAATCGCATCAAACAAACGATCAACGCGGTAATGGACGGCAATTTGACATTACGCGAGAAAATTAAAACTTTGTTTCGGGAACAGGGAGTCACAATTGTCAGCATTTTAATTTTTATTCTGAGTGTTGTTTTAATTTCCACTGTGGTTTTTGTCCTCTTTTTTGTTATTTCTATCTTAATTCTCATAATAGTTTTTTATCTATGTATTTTTAATGCTATTCCTATGAATTACACTTGTACATATGCTTAAGTTTTAGGATTGATGTTTACCGTTTACTTTTCTTATTGTTTGGTTTTTAAATGTGTATACAAACGAGATGTGTTAGTAGTACAAGTGCAATTCAACTTTCGGGTTGCCAAACTGTACTATTTTTTAGTGAATAAACCAATAATAATATTAATAATAATTTTAACGGCTTTTAGTTTGGCTGTGAGTACCATAGTCATATTGAAAGTGTATTAAGTTGGTTGTTTAATGTGGCAAGCAAGGCAATCGCATGAATCGCTAGTAACGTTTGGACTATTTTGTAGGCATACGCATTTTGATTTTGACTTAAGTTCAGAGAATGTAAGTCGGTTTATAAAAGGGCAAAAAATTGCCTTAATGCCTTTTACTTTTTGGTTTACTCTAAGTTAATACCTTATATAACATAAAGCCAAGTCAGCGATGGCAATCGTTCCTACCGTTAACGACAATTTTTCTTCACTGTGAACGTCTATTGTTTTTTTTTCTTGCGGGGCCACAGGTGGTAATACAAGCTTTATATTTGGAGTAGGCGTTGGATCTGACAACACTTCCTGCTCTGTAATTTGTTTACTTTCTGGATCATCAAAATCTGATGGCGCGGGCACAACGCTTGAATATAAACTTCGAACACAACCCATATTCATGCCAGCTGTCGCCATTGTAAATTGTTGTTGTATCCCTCAAATGTTCCTTCAAGTAGGCGAACCTGGTGTTCATCGAACCCAGGGAATAGTCGAACGGTTCAATAGGACTTTAGCCAAATGATTGATCAGGTTATAAAAGCGCTAAATGAAGAAAAGACTACGTTAATTGACAAAGAGCCCGAAGCGGCCATAAAGTTGGACCGTGTAAAACAAGCACCGGCTGCTCCCATCCCCAAAAGAAGAGAAATAGACCTTCCTTCAAACGATGTCGACCGGTATCTACGTCCGGTATATACTACCCAGGTGAACAGGAAGACGGTACCGTCAGAAGAGCAACCGATCCTGTCTGGAGCGTGGACGTTTATCAAATAGAAAAGCGCACGAGTCAGTTTAAACGAGTCAACGGCAAAAAAGGTGAAAACGGGTTATTATTTGCTGGGGGTCCCAAGCGGAGTTTTGTGAGAGAAGAGCTTCAAGTGGTACCTGCGAACACCGAGGTACCGCTTTCTTCTGAGTTTTGATCGGTTTTATAATGACCATAGGCAAAAGTATATAACCCATTAGGTAGTAAGTAACACTTTGTATCCAAACGCGATAAGCTCAATTTATTTTAAACGATTGTGTAAACCAAATTTTTCTGCGATCTAATGTGATGTTGGGTCGTAAAACCTGCTTGCAACCAAACAACGCTTTTTTGTAAGCTTTGTGTCGCAGTTGCTTCTCAGTCACCACTTTGGTTACACCTTTGGCCTTTTTCAAGTTAACTTGACCTTCGAGTTAGATCGAATACATTTTTGGGAGTAAGCAAACGACTTCCTTCACCAGTTGGCTGCCAAATTCGTCATTCATTTTGCCAATGACTTTTTAACTTTTTGGATCGGAAAGCTCGTGTGTGGACGAGTAATTGGTAAAGTTGAATAACTCACGCTTGTTACGTAGGTAACCAGTAAGTCCTCCACGTGAATCTGAACGAGCAAGCTGTCGGTGTCGGTGTATAATAGACAAACGTCGTTGCCAAAGTCTGCTTTCAACGTGTGGCAATAAAAGTCATACATCAACGTTTTAGACAGGTAGAGCACACCTACGCCACGGTAAATGGGTTTGTTCAACTTGGTTATTATGCAATACATTTCGACAATTGAGAGATCGCACTCTGGGAACGGTGTGGTCGATTTGTAGTGAGACTTAGAAAGCAAGCGTTTTAACCAATCGGCCTCCTGTAGGTTTCTATGCAGGTGTCTGTTAATTCATTCTCTTACGTTTTCCATCGTTTTGCCAAAACCGAGTTGTTCAGTCGAAAAACGTCTTTCTCGAAATCAGAGTTGGCTCGTTCGGTGTTTTTGTCAATGTAACTTTTCATCCAAAAGGACATTACACGGTGGACCATCTTCAGTTGTTCTAGTTATTTTGCAATGTGCGATAGTCAACCACTTACTTGAGTTTAGTCGAAGCGTCGCTACGAACTTGTCTACGGTCGTAACTTTTTCTCCGTGATGTAACTTTTTGGTAGTCTTACAGCCATTCGCTCGGGGTTGAAATGTTTTTGGGTGCCAGCGGAAAATTGTTATGTAAGTCGTGTAATTGGTTAGGATAATCGAGTGTAACTTCAAGCATGTAATATTTTGTAGCGTAAAGTGAAAGCTTCGAAACTCATGAACTCATGAGTAAACTTGTCTAAGGCTTTAACCCATTGAAATTTTTCCGATGGGTAACGGTTGAGACATGGCCCAACCGTACAAGTTAATCGCATAGAGGTACATTATGAACGACGTCGGTTTGTTGGGCTTGTAGTCTTTTAAACCAGGGTTATTAGCATTTGCATAACGTTTTGCCCCAACGCTCGAATTTCAACGTCGTTTTGCCCTTTTGAAAAAGAAGTGTTTGTCGATGTCTGTCAACAGTTTGAGTTGTACGGCAGAGTGTTTTAACAGCACGTCCCACGGCAGGCCCAGTGACGTATAGTAGTTGGCTGGGTCTAGACCATTATTCGTTTTGCAGACCTTCTGAAAGTTTTCAAACACGCACGGAAGTAACAACGTAACCGTTTCGACGTAGAGATCGGGGTAGTGCTCGAGGGTTTGACACCTAAACGTTTGCCATCCATTTTGGGCTCAAACGTATTCTTCTTCGCTCACGGTCTGTTGACTCAACGAGCTATAAAACGCGTCTTGAGGTGGAAGCTTAGTTTCTTTAAATCGATCGAGAGAGTTTACGTAATAGTACGAATAGATGCCTTTCTCTAAAAGCAAGTCCGTGTCGTTTGCAAATCTTTCGCGCAATAAGTTAAAATCGTCCGGGGAGCAGTTTTTGACCAATCGATCGAGTGAAGCGGCCATGAAATGAAACGAGTCTAAAAGCCGAAGTTGACCAACCGAGAACGAAATGCTGTCTCGGTGGTTTTAATAATGACGTTGATTTTATTACCGTTGAACACCCTGCATAATTAGATGAGCGTCATATTTTCCAGGTTGTGTAGCACACCCGGAATAGGAGTTTGTTTAGGCACGACTCGTAGTTTTAAATTGCAATTGGTTTGTGCTGAGGCCCCGGTAAGTCTATCTTTCGGGTTTTAGTTTTTGGCTCGGCTGAAATTCTAACTGTGATTCTTTGGTTGGATGGATCGGCTTTTCACATATTCAGCAGATGTTGCATTTGTCGTGGCGTGTCTGTAGCTCGGGGCGACAAAGATTTTTATACGGGGTGAGAAACTTTTTTCATTTTCCGAGAGGGGGAAGTCCAGGGGAAAGGGAGTCGAGGAACGGGATTTCAGGACCTTTTTAATTTTTGAAAAAGGTTGATGAGATATCGGGGGGGGGGTCAGTGAGGTACCCGAAGAAAAAAGTCGTAAGTGGTAATTAGCTGTTGAATTTCTGCAGTGAGGGACAGACTGTACAAAGGTGCTTCAAAACACAATCACATGTGCCCTTTACATACCCATGAGCCGGCACGTACTCAACGTCGACAATGTTAAGCTTATTGACACCAATTCAGACTGACATATAAGGGATGATGTTCACAATACAGATTTCTTATGTACATGTGTTATATTCCTGTAGAAGCTTACATGTACATGTACATCAGAACGGCTTTTAACTACAAGGTCTACCTATCACGAGTCTGTCGGGGTCAAAGGGCCCGTATACAACGTTTGAGTCTATGTTGCGGGCATTGAGACGTTCGCAATCGTCGGTTACAATGTAAATTTCGTTTCACATGGGTCTGGTTTTATAATATAAGTGATTATATTTTTCATTTTTCGCGGCTTAATCTGCCACGTCAATTACACGTGCGTAATGGTCTTTGGGTAACGGTTGCGCTTGTGGAGTAGCGGTTATTTCTACGTCTTCATCATATTCAATTATTAAGCCGAGTTTTCTCGCATCTACATCCAAGTCAGATTCTGGGTTGCGGTCGTCTGGTGTTCTAAATTTCATCCTTTTGTAGCAACCATAGCCAGTACTGTCGTCATATATTAAAAACGATTACCTTTAAGGTCTTCGCAGTTGATGCAATAATTGCAGTCGTTACAGTTATTGCATTAGACGGAATTATCAGAACCTGTACAAAAATAACAACTGTCACAATTAGCGAAATTGCCGCAATCGGTGCAATTTTGCAATCATCACAGTTTACACAATATTCACAAGTTTCACGTCGCAAAGATTTACAACAGTTACATTTTTCCAATCGTTACTGTGGGGAAATGGATTCTCTTTTGGTTGGCTTTATCTCCTGGATACAGATTTATATTTAACTTGACTTCATTTGCATGAAGCCTGACCCCATATTCACATGTAAATTCGTTTATTGTGCACACACGACAGGGCGCACACTTTTTGCGCTTGGTACTTCGCCATTTTCCCAGCACCAGTTGACGTCGATTTTGCTGTGTTTGTGGCCAGTTTGTCGGCACACAACTGTCTGAAATGTAAGGCGTCCTCATTGGGGCTTGTCTCCAGAACCTGTGGTGAGTGATTTTCATTTTGAGTGTAACTCTTCGGGAGAGTTGTACATGTCCACTTTTACTGAAACTTTGGAAAATCTGATGGTGTGGCATTGTCATAGACACCGCTGTGTGTACATGTACATACCTTGCAATATTGTACCTGTGCATATGGACAGCAGATGTGCACACCATACTTGTACAGGGTACGACAGTATTCTTTGCTGTGTGTGCACACCTTTTTTCCAATAATTATGGGGTTTCCTTAATTTTCTCTATTTATTACAGGCAGAATGTACATATACATGCAGTAGGAGTCATCCAGTCCCTGAACCTGGGGATATTTTTGGTTTGGATTGTTCGTTTGGATCTTTGTGAGGTTTTTCTCCTTGGAGTTACCTCAACCTGCTTATCATAATTCTACTTCATGACTGTGATTTCAATGATTCCACCTTGATTTCGCCTTGATTGCTGAATAAACTTGTTTGTGATGCAACAAATCAAGATTTTCTTCGATTGACTGAATCATTACCTGGTCAACTCGTACATTCATCCTAATCAACTTGCTGGCTGTGACACCGCAGCCCCATTTCACTACATCGCATTGATCGATATGATTAGAGTTAAAACATCGTTTAGAATCGCAAGCGTCTATCATGTTAATAGATTGAATTGTGTTTTTGCAAAAGCAGCAACTGACGTTGGTTTTTTGGTTTGGCATCTCTGTTTTATTGTAGACTTAGAAAATATTTTGTAAATTTTTCTTGAAACTTCAAGTTCCCATTTTAAGGGGCTTGAGGTTTTTTCTTTTTCCGGGGGGACAAAGATTTTTATACGGGGTGGATAACTTTTTCATTTTTTTCCAAGAGGGAGAAAACCCGGGGAAAGGGAGTCGATGAGGTCAAGGAACGGGATTTCAGGACCTTTTTTATTTTTTAAAAAGGTCGATGAGGTATCGGGGGTCGATGAGGTATCCGAAGAAAAAAAGTTGATCTCGTACTGTCTAGGCTACCTACCAGGTGCATTAAACTTTAATGTTTAGGTACATCTAGAAGCTATTGGGAGAGGGCTGTTAGGAAATCCTGTAAGAAACATTTGAACTTGTATATTCACAATCTCGGTGATTGCTGTACTTTTTTAAGAGATGGACGTGGACGCAAGCCTGAAGATTGTTGGCCTCGGTGGCTGCGTGCAGAACACCAACTTCGTAATATTTGGGATGGGCTTTGCTCTAGCAGCCATCCAACTGACTTCCGTCGCCCTCACAGTTGACCAGTCCGTGGAGCATTACTGTAAGCCGGCACCCGGCTTCATGGCCAATGAAACAACGCCTATAATCGTTAAAGACGGCCGCCTCGTACCCGATAGCTGTCAAATGTACGAAGTCCTGAATGAGACACTGACGGAGAACACGACGACTTGTCAACATGGCTGGGAATACCCTGCCTTCGAGAAATACGGAGAAACCAGCTTTGTGACTGACGTAGGTTTAGCAGTCACCAGTGTTGTAGTCGAGACCACTTTTAAGACCTTCACAGGACCACACAAGACCAGCACAAGACCAAAACAAGACCTCCAGTCTGAGTCAAAGCCACAAGCTATTCAAATGAAATGCAACAAAAGCATTCCTTTGTCAATATTCACACTCACTGGTGTCTGGTCTTGTGATGGTCTCGACTACAACACTGACAGTGACACGCATAATTTATATTAAACAAAGCTCGGCATGTTTTAAAACCTTTGAAATCTCCTATCGCCTAAACACAAGATTTGTTAACAGTCGAACGATGTTTTTTATTTGCGCAATAAAAAGGAAAGTTGATATTAATGAATGATTTTTTTTACCGTTGGGTGAAATAGTTTTCAAGGTACAGACAATGACTTTCGATAGAGAAGGGCCTTATATAGTCTGAATGGTATGGTTTGAGAGTCTTGCTTTAAGGGCTTTCGATCTGTCTTCAGGTGAATCTTGTTTGCAGTCGTGGTTATCTGGCAGGTTTACTCATCTCCATACACTTCGCTGGCGTGCTGGTAGGTGGTTTCCTCACCGGCCAGGCTGGAGACACTTTCGGCCGCCGTCCTGTCTGCATGGCCACGCTGCTCCTGATCAGCGTGCTGGGCACAGCCGTCAGCTTCACGTGGAACTTGGAGCTCATGATGGCCCTGAGGTTCCTCTTGGGGGTAGTAATACCGGTAAGGAACACTCACTTTATGGTTTGATTATCTCTTCGGCCGTGCTCAACCGGATGTTCTAGGCTGTTAACCCATGTTGCCCGATCGTTGCAAAGTAATTGGGACGCATCTCGGGCATAACTAAGACATTGAACACCGTGGGTAGGCATTTGGTGGAACTCTAAAAAGGTTAGTTCAAAATACCCGGGAAATAACATTTCATCTTACAATTGGTCTTCGGCTGCAAATTGTGGGTAAATGTGGGGGGAAATTACCCAACTGCTAAGCAATAAAGGCCCAACAGTGTTGCATTTGATAATTCGACCATCCCTTTAAGTAAATAATAATTGCCCATCGTCTTCATAGTGCACAGTACAATGCCCTGGGGTTGTCAAAATTCACTTGCCAAATGACCTCGTGCATTTTTAATGAGGGTATGATTTAAACGGTAACAGAAACTGAAACATTTAGTTCACGTGAAGTATTTCAGAATAACAATAAAGATGTAGTAAACTGGTCAAAATATACATTCAATATTGAGTTGGAGGAAACGGGTTTTATTCTCTTCGTGAACAGCCTTGGTCAAGCCATTCGTCATTCGTCGCAGCGCAGCGCGCACCTGCCGCCCGAAATCAAGGCGAAGAACGATCTCACGCAGTCTACGAAATATGCAAATTACCTGAACCAGGACGAACGCCTTGGTACAACAGTCCGCGGAAAGCTGTATTGAACGGTGCTCATTATGCTAATGCGAAGAGCCAATGTATTAAATACGCTTTTGGATTGGTTTATTGCCACATAGTAACTGCATAATTTAAGTCGGTTGTAATTAAGGTGAAAGGTTAACTGAACGCACACTTCGCTGTACATGTACATAACAAGTCAACAATTCAATTATTTTGCCAGCTGATCAGAGTAATCGGAGATCGAGTTCGCCTTTGCTTTGCTTTGCCTTACTGATTGTAATTATTTTTTTCAAATGACTAGCACTATGGGCTTTGTATCTAACTGAGGAGCTCCGAGCAGAAAAGTGCAGCCTGAAAAATTACAGATTTCCCGTAGCCTGTTGGAAAATTCACGAAAACCTCGTGACCCCACAGAAAGTATTCTAAGGCTGGCCACAGCTCGGCACGAAAATCAATCAACATCGATTTATCTGCAGCGGATCTAAATTCAAGCAACAATTAAGACAACTCGTAGTGTTGCAGTCGTCTCGGAAGGTGGTCCGCCATTAATTTTACATGGTTATCATGCATGCCAGTTCACGTTGATGCATTATGCATATGCATACTTAGCTGCGATTGGTGACTGTGAACTCATCGCTCGCCTGCATCTATTCATATTCGCATACGAGGTAGTTTACAAGAAATCTAACGCAAAAGTAAAGAAAAGCATAAGCTTCCGCGGACAGCTGAACCAGGACGAACGCCTTGTCCTGGTTCAGCCGATTTGTATATTTCTTAGACCGACGTCGCCCGTCGCCTTGATTGCGAGCGGCATGTGCGCGCTTCCGTGATGCGCTGCGCTGAATGACGAACGCCTTGACCAAGGCTACGTCATGTAAGGCTCTGGAAGCGAAGTGCAAGTGAATGACAGAAAATGCACACGCATCATTTGTGATACATAGAAAGAAAGTAATACAATTATTTACGACCGTAGTGTATACAGTCGTAAAAATAGACGGATTAAAAGGTGAAGTTCAAAAGGGTAGGGAACAAAAATTACTTTTCAGAAACTTGGCCTGAAGTCCTTCGATAGCCGGGATATTACACTCCTCCCCCCTATACCGAAACGTGTCCAAGTGAAGCACTGAATGTACATGTTTTCCGATGTGCGTCAATAGTGAATGATTTTGAATTGAATCTATGTGGGTTTTTTAATCAACTAGCGACTACTTTTCTTCTACTAACGCTACTTGTATACACGTGTGATGCACAGTCAAGTGCATAGGTGGAGTTCCCTTACTTGCCATTTTTGGATTATTCTGCCTCTGACGTGTGCAGCTGTCTTGACCTATAGGTTCGCTAGTTATTTATCTGCGAAGCCATAAAGATTAGGCGGGTTTCTGATACGTAAAGGATGTTTTTCTCTCAGTTGTTGGATCTGATTGTGACTCAAGCTCGGCTGAGGCTTCTTGTGCCGGAAGATTGTAGGAAGTTGGATGGTTATCGGGCATTTGAGGATTGACGTCGGTACGTCTCAGGTTGTCGTTTGGGGATTGGCACAGTATACCCGTTCCAAAGTCAATGTCACTGTCCAAATTTCGAGAGGTGCGAGCTGCTTGGACTGGACGTTCTTGATTGCGGATGTGGTTCAGGTGACGACGGATTTCACATCTGTTATGGTCAAGTCGGATCTTGTAGGGCACAGGACCTGAGGTACCTGTGATGGTGCCATAGGTAACCAGTCTTCTTAAAGTTGTGAACGAACACGGTGTCACCAATCTGGAAGACGTGTGTCTCCGGGCTCTTGTCATGATGCCGTTCTTGGTTTTCTTAATGGCAAATGACCCGCTTTGTGAAATCAGGTCAAAGATGGTCGAGATAAGAACGTAAACGACAACCCATTAACATTTCCGCTGGAGACACTCCCGTAGGCCTGTGTTGCGACCGTACATCACATATGGCAGAGGGCGCACATGATGTACGGCAGAGTGCGTGCTTTGCGTGCGCGATACAGCCCACCGTGCATGGCGCGTTAGCAGGTCGATTGCATTGATCGCAGTCACTCAGCGAACTGCACAGAATTGCAGGTTTCAAAAACATAATTTGGCCTACTAGTCCAATTCTAACAAGAAAGGGCTACCTGAGAGGGAGGGGCTGATGATCTACCACACTTTATCAACGCACTGTTGTATGTATGTGCATGGAAGCCATATAGTGCTGGTATTGAGACAGAATAAAGATGCAATCAACGATTGAATCCTGTCCTGTTGCTTCTGATAATTGTAGGAGTTGGATGGAGCCCAGGATAACAGTCCTACACCCTGTCCGGACTGACTGATCCTGTACTGAAACAAGAATCTTGACACCTTGGTTTCAACTGCTCCTGTCTCCATTTGTATGCTTGAAGGTGCGCCCAATCAATTTCCACATAGCGTAAGGAACAACTCGTGCTTTACTGAAGCCCGGCGGTGCATCTTTGTCGACATAAATTTTAGCTGTGGTGCCTTTCAAGGTATTAAGCTCATCGTTGAACAACGCTGAATGAGCTTTGTGTACTTCATCGATGCTTGTGGTTCTATGGAGGACCTGATTTGCTGCCACTCCATTTTAATTTCTTGAAGCCAGTTCCTTACAAGTAGGCTTGGTCCGGCACCTTTGACGACGAGCAATGCAAGTTTGTACGTCTTTGGTTGTGCTCAACTTCAAGGTTAACAGAAATGGAAAATATTTAGTTCACGGGAAGTATTTGAAAATAGCAATAAATAAGTAACCATTTCAAAAAGATCCTAACATTAATGTTGACCCCATTAATCGTGACCCCAAAAGGAATAAAAAAGATCCTGCGTTTCCCCGCCCACAAAAATCCCCTTTTGGCCGTTTGCGCTCCCATGCTGATTTATGACGTCATCGGCAAAACGCCAACAGAAAAGTGTACATGTTCATTGCACGAGTACATGCGGTATCGCACACTTGCAGTAGACCACGTTGTGTTCGATGTAGCTTGGCCCACAGGCAAACACTGCCTCGGTTCAAGGTAGAAATTAAAAGACACAGTCCTAGCTAGCACATGTTAGCGTTCTGGTGATGACATCCTCCAATCAGCCTGGGAGCGCGAACGGCCAAAAGAGGACTTTTTGTGAGCGGGGAAACGAAGGATCTTTTGTAGTGTAATTCTCCGGCGATGAGAGAAAGTGAGGCGGTGAGGCCAAATTTTGGGGTTCCTGTGTCACTCTCAAATTTTGGTTTATTGGAGATCTCCACTTTGCTCATGAAAAGGCCTACCAGTGCAAAATTATTAATTTAAACAAACGTGAATCTTTGGTTCCATAAATTAAATTAAATTAATCCAATCCAATCCAATTCAATTCCAATTTCCATGATCAATGAAGAGTATTGCTGGTGCTACATGTAACTTACAATGTAACATATACATGCTGCGGATTTTAAAGGTCATGCATAATATATTGTACATGTACAATAACAAAGGTAGAGGTACACATACGTTCACACCTCATTGCAAATTTGACATTCAACTTACACCCTGCTACATCGAGCCACTTTTATGACCTTAGATTAGCTACTACATGTATATAACTCGCTATATATATGTAACTCTACAGTCGATGTAGCCAATCTGCCCCTAGCCTAGGGCCCCCAACCCTGCTAGTGCAATTCAGTAAATCCACAGGACCATTCCAAGCTCTGAAACTGACGACTACTAAGTTGTCTAGAAGTTTTGGAAAAGATCCAAGGTTGTGGCGCGAACGACCAATTTACACGTATATTCATGGGCACAGGAGCTTAACTGATTGCAACTTAATCCCTCTATTAATCGATCTGGACTATTAAATATCTACACATTTGCATTTATCTATAACTCACATCACCAAAACATTAACATTTTATAAATTAATGCATTATTAAACCTGGCACTATCTCTCGTGCCCGCATAACATGTCCAAAACTCCAAGATTACTACACGGCAACGTACCGAGCGATTCATGGACAACATGAATAGCGCCCTCATGGGACTCAGCACTTAACAATTAGCAAACACCGCATTTTACTCCTTTTTGGGCCACAATTAATGGGAAATATTAAATTTTTGATGTTTTGAAATTGTTAGGTATTTACATGTACTGTTATTTTGAAACACTTGACGTGAACTAAATGTTTTCAATTTCTCTTACCCTTTAAGTTTGAATACGTAGTACGTGGCCACATACGACTATTGGGCTGTGGACAGGAATGGCAAGTGCACTTCTATAGGAAAGCTCCCCGGCTGGGAGCTACAGCGACGTCCCGAAGACATGCACGTTATCTTCAGCTGCATCCAACACATTTGAACGCGTGGTGAGCCCAGAGCGCGACCAAGAGAGGGCGCAATTTTCCTGGCAACGGAGGCTCCTTTGGCGGTAACTGCAATTCGCGGGTTCACGAACGAATAGAAATTGCACGCGTTGCGGTGGTTTAGCTACCAACAGAAATGAATACCTCCTGCTAATATGGTTCTTTTCAACCAATAAGGGGGTGTTTCCGCTCAAGACTGTTCAAAAGAAGTTTCAAGTTGTGTTGCAAGCCTAGTAGCAAACACTTAAGTGTACAATGCTGCTAGTTTGTCGTTATCGATCATTGGCAACTGAACGGAGCTGCTAATTAGTCAGGGTTTTTTAATTATTTTTTTAATTGAAAAAAAAATGGATTTTTAAAACTTAAATCAGATTTGTTTGATTTAAATCAGAATTTTGTTATTTTATAAAAATAGAGACAAGTTGGCTCAAATGTCTATTCAAAGGCAAGCAGATTAGCTGCACGTGTAATAGATTAGGCAATGACTTAGGCTTGATAAGGCTATCTATTAAGGGGTATTAAGTGGTTTTAGTTACACTGCGTTTGTTGTTACACTGTGCGTTTGCTTATGAGATTTGATTTTAATCGCGATTTAAATCGGTAATTTAAACCAAGGTGTTTTAAATCAGCCAACCTTGTAATTCGTAAAAGTAAATGACTTGTTTCTTAGGACTGTTTGTAGAAAGTTTCATTCTCCAATCCTTAGGGGCCTACTTGTCTCTAAACATTTTTCAATACAAGTGTATTTAATCAAATGATCTGTTCACAGGGAAACACTTTAACAGGCTATATCCTCGTTGTTGAGATGTTCACGCCCAAGAAGCGACTGGTTGGTCACGTGCTCATTCAGCATTTCTGGAGTTTCGGAGTAATGCTTGTCGCGCCGTTAGCCTACCTCATGCCTAACTGGCGTCGCTTTCAACTCGTCACGTCTCTAATGTGTCTGCCGGTCGTCTTAATCATGTGGTAATCAGGGGACTTCTGTTTACAAAGAAATTGATTTTCCCCCCATTTGACTAGTTAATCGCAAACCAATCTCCACGATGATCATTATTCAGCGTTAAGGTGCACCCAAGGTGCAACTTTTTTGGTGAATAATTATCGTCACTTGTGTCCAGTTGAGCCCGATGCGTCTTTTTGGAGCTACAGAATTTAAACGAAGAAACGAATTGAACGTTTGAATCTTGTACTTTACGGTCTATTTGTTCCCAAGCTTCTTTACATATGAGTCACTCCGATGGCTTATTCAGAAAGGCCAACTGGATAGGGCGGAGGCCATTCTACAAAGAATCGCAAAATCCAAGAACATCCAACACGATGGACCCTTCCTGGTGAACCAAGAGAGTAAGGAGCTGTTGGATAAATTGGAGCCAGAACAGAAGAAAGACTGCGAAGACTGCTCAGGTCCATCGGTACAGGGAAGACAAACGCATGACGAGGCGGTGGATGACGAACGGGAAGGTCACTGCATCCAACCTTCCAGCGCGGGAGAAGACGCAATGGGCCAGATCGCAAAGACCAGTGGGCCTACCAACGTCAAAAGGTACACCGTCCTAGACCTCTTCAAGACCAGGGTCCTCATCAAACACACATCCATCGTTTTCGTTTGCTGGTAAGAGCCATTTCCAACTGCTGGGTCCCTCGTTGACTAGAGCTGTTTCCATATGCTTTTACAATGGGAAGAATTAACTTGTTATTCCAAATTGTGTTGCCTTTTTTTGTTCACAAATGTAATTTTTAAACGTATACCCCTATGGACTTTATTCCTACAAATCTACAAATTAGTCAAGGCTCATGGTATTTTGAATTAAGATGACCAACAAGAGAAAAAGTGAAGTAATATTGACACTGACGTTTCGTTTTCGCCCACTTTAATCTTTCATGACCAATGCCCCTTCTTGGTCACCATACTTCAGAAGTTATTTTCCGATCACATTATCAGGTTTGTTATGAATGCAACCTACTTCGGATTCATCCTCTATTCGACCAGTCTGAGTGGCAATAGGTACCTCAGCTTCTTCTTGTTGGCTCTTGTCGAGGCACCGGTCTATGGTATCGATTTCTTCATTGTCAGGAGGTACGGAAATGTCTGCTGCACGAGAATCGAATTAAAGCAAACATTTTAAAATTGTCACAGGACCGGGGTTTGTGTCTTTATCGTGAAAACTCGTTTTCATTTGGCCCACAATTGACAAGTTTTCTGTTTCTGATCGCCATTATAGTGTCGGTGTCATTTTCCTTGTCAAGATTTCTCTGATGAGAGAGATGGATAAGGCGTTGTTAATTAATTTAAAACCCTGGGACGAGGCACCTTGTCCAATATAACAGCCAATGCAGCACCGTGTGTTAAAATTGTCTCCGATTTATTTTGTGGATAAAACGATCCTTATTCAATGTCTTTTTCAGTTTTCATCAGATGGAAAACTTCCTAGGAAGAAGACTCAGTATGTTTTGTGGGGGGAAGTGTCCTTTTGGGGGGCGTGGTCTGCAGTGGGGGCGCTGAATTCAACAATACGGAAATACATCGGCGATACCAAAAATAACACGAGAAATTACCGCTATACATGCTTGAATCACTGTGACTCACTCATACTGGGTTTTATAGCACAACAGCTGGGCCTCGACAGTGTAAATAATTCCACGTGGCCAGCCTCTCCAGACCCAGTTTCGGCCCTGTCAATCACACGGGCTTATCCAGGACTCCAGCTCAACCATGGAGCTTCCTCCATCGGTCAACACACTATCTGTTTACAGCGCTGGCGCTAACCAAAAGCTGTTGTTTGTGAGATTAATGACACCATTGGCACTAACCACAAGCTTCCAGACACATTGGAAAGCATCCCACACATTGGCCTTATTCATTTTCCAAAGGGGGAAGGAGTATTTTAGAGGGGAGTAGGTAGTGTGAGCATTATTATAATAATTATTGCAGTCTTTTGTGCACAAACATTTGGGAATGGATATGGACCCCCTTTCAGTCACTACCAGGGCGATACCAAGATTGACACCCCTCTCAATAGTTAGGTGGGGGGAAAGTTAGAAAAGTCACAGGAGTTCGATCAGGTATTGCGTGGTAGTCAGGAGAACGAGTAAATCACGTGATTTCTGAGACATTCTTGGCACAAAGTCCCAAGTTGAAGGGAGGCTTTGGAATTCCTCTCATTTACTTTTAAAACAAATTGCAACTACCGGCAACAAACTGCAACCACTGACGTGCGCCAAAATATTCTTTCATTTTTCACTTCAGATTTGGCCGAAAAAGGCCAGACATCGTTTTCTTCTTCACTGGAGCAGTGGCGTGTCTGCTGATCGCTTTCTTCTCTATGAAAACAGGTATATGACTGTTGCCCTAGTCTTTTTCCATCCGCTTAAAAATGGGCCCTCGAATTTGTGAGATTTTTTCCGATAACAAACCATAAACGACGGAGGATCATGTGTGCCCCTTTACCAAAAATCATCAACTTCTTTTACTCTCTCCTGCATTTAACTGCAGCCAGTGGACTGGATTCATCAGCGCTTGTGGTTGCTGTGGCGATGATAGGGAAATTCTACACCAACGCTGCTTATGAAGTCACGCTGCTGATGAGTGCAGAGATCTTCCCCACGGTGCTTCGGTAAAGACAGAGATCAGAGACGATGCCCACCCAGGGATGCAAAATTAAGGAAACAAAATATATTTAGAAACACAATGGAAAATAATAAGCAGTAATTCCAAAGTGTCACCAATGATTTATATCAGTAATAGTAACCCAGCAAGTTATTATATTTCGATAGAGAAAAATGCTCCTGTAATATTGTGCTGGTCTGAGGTGGTCCTCTCTCCCTTCTCCGAATGCTGATTACAAGGTCACCTCGTAGAGGATCCATTCTAATTGCCTCATCGTTACACCTTTTGCTAGGAACATTGCAACAGGTAGTTCATCCACTATCGGAAGGATTAGTGCCATCATGGCACCTTTCATCGTGTATCTGGTAAGTGACAGCGCATTGGGTATCACCTTGAATGATGCGATGGCACGTGGCCATGGTCAGGCTGTTGTCTTGAATATAGCCAATGAATCGTCGGGCCGTAAAGAAAGAACGGTGTGATGGTGAATAAATTAAGTATACTTGAAAACCATCGGGATGGAATGCATGGGGTTTGTTTTGGTACCATTGACTATCGCTTGTGGAGAAAGACCACGGGGTCTTTCTCTTAAAATTCACGTCCTCGCCCATTCAAATAAAAGAATCTCCACTTTTTCTTCGTTTGTCCGACTTAAGCCACGCCCCTACCCTACTATTATTGTCCATTTTGTAGAAAAAAACAAAAGGCTTTACTGGTGCTTTGAGAGCTGTGAGATGAATTCCATCATTTGTCCAGCGTTGGTTAGCTATGTACATTTGCATGTACTTAAAAGCTTCATTCCTGTCCCAAGCCGATGAGGAACTCCTCGGCTGGGTGCACAACTATTTTTCATTCACAAGCACAGTACAGGCTTTACACGTTACATGCAGACATGCAGTCGACACCATCAGTGTATCGCACGGCACACACACTGTCTTACGGTCCAACTGGATTTATATCTATGTGTTAGTTGCGGAATATGCTGAAACATTTAAGTTAGTAAAGGCTATCGAAAGCTGGGGGCCCTTCACACCACCAACGAGCAAGTTTCCTGAGTGACTGATTTGAGAACTACAGTTCACTGTCTCTTCAAATGAAGATTACGTTTACAACCTTGGAAGTACATGCTTCCTCTTTGAAATCCTTCAGTCACCAAAGGAATATTTTTGTTTGGAAAATACATGCATTTGGAATATCACCTCATTCATCTGGGAATTATCATACGTAAGTTTTTAAACGATTAATCTGTTTTGAAAACTTGTAAACTTGGATTGTGATTGCTGAAGTTGTTTTTACAAATTATTTAATAACAGAGAAAGAGTTAAAACTGAGGTTTAACCGAAATTGGCTAAATATGAATTTTAAAATAAACACACTAAGAAAAGTGATAAAAAATAAAAATATACCTAAACATAAGAAAATAAATCTAAATAAAAGTGAAAAAATAGAAGGGATATGTAAATGTGAAACTAAAATGGAGAGGGTATGTAAAAATGAAGGAGACACATTTAAAACATTATAGTGTAACATGGTGTAAACATAGTGTAACGTAAGGAGCGGTTCACTTTTATTGAAAATCGCTAATCTCAAAAGAAACATGCTACCGCGTCAAATCTAAAAATGTGAGTGTTAACCGTATTGAACGTCTAAAGCAATCTAGTCTATTTTTGAAAGTGTTTCTCACCGTGTTTGACGTAGTAATTTAATGTCACAAGTGCTTTTTCTGTGTCTATCCAGTCAAGTTTGATCGATCCTCTTTTGAAGAATGTCCAAACAGTACATTCTTAAAACTGTACATTTTTAAGAATAATCGACACTTTACTGAATAGGATAACCTCACAAGAGCGGTTTAACTATCAGAGATGTACGCNTGAGCAAGTTTCTCGAGTGACTGATTTGAGAACTACAGTTCACTGTCTCTTCAAATGAAGATTACGTTTGCAACCTTGGAAGTACACGCTTACTCTTTGAAATCCCTCAGTCACCAAAGGAAATTCTTTCGTTTGGAATATACATGCATTTGGAATATCATCTCTTTCGTCTGGGAAGTATCATGAGGTAAGTTTCTAAACAATTAATCTGTTTTGCAAAATTGTACATGAATTGTGATTGTTGAAGTTGTTTTTGAAAATTGTTTAATAACATAGAAAGAGTTAAAACCGGGGTTCAACCAAAAGCAAAATGGCTAAATGTGAATTTTAAAATAATTAAACAAAGAAAAAATGATAAAAGTGATACAAATCGTTAGAATATAAATCTAAATAAATTTTTTAAAAAATGAAGTAAAACTAAAATGGCAGGGATATGTAAAATGAACTAAAATGGAAGTTGTATGTAAAAATGAAGGAGACACGTTAAAAAATCGTATAGTGCAACGCAAGGAGCGGATCATTTTAATTGAAAATCTCAAATCTCAACAGAAAATGTTTAACTGTACATTCTTAACAATACTGGACACTTTCCTGAATAGGGTGATGTCACAAGAGTGATTTAATGTGCATGACGTTTGAATAATCTGATGTTTGACCACCGATTTCTGTGTCTATGAAATCCAGTTGGATCGTCAGTTTGTTTCGTCAAGAGTGTTCTACTTTCATAAATAGTTCATTGAAACACTTTACCAAAAATAAGAACATTCAGTTTACTTTGGCTCTCAAAGGGTATGAAATTCGTGGGGTAAAATGCTCGTAATGGCCGTTTGCTTTTCTCATGCATGACCGTGTATGTATTACTCAGAGGTTGTTATTTAACATCTTTCCTTCAGATGATTGTTATTCCACATCTGTTGCAAATAAACGGTCGACTGGATGCAATCAATATAGTACAGTACCAGGAAGCTGAGTGATGGTAATTGCTGCACAATGCACATTTGTGAAATTGAAAGATTTTTTTCCTGTGTCGTATCATTATGAGGCTGATTTTTGTACGAAACTACTTCATGAATATTTCATTTCAACCTTCAACCCTACCTTTTGGACTGTAAACAATCAGACTGTTTGGGATTTAATTTCAATCAATCACTAAAAGAAAATGTATTAACGTGTATAGTGTGAAATGTGCGCACTGGCTGATGGGACATCGCCGCTGAATCCCACTTTTTCCTCGCTCATTGTTCTGTGTTATTTCACTATTGCTATCTACAGCTGTCTGAGTGAATCAGTGCAACTGCTCTTCGTGGTAGAGGAATCACAAAGTATTACAGCACCCGGAAGTCGTGTTGTGATGCTTAGTGCACATTGACATGTTAAAGTCTGTACATTGGTTTCAATTCAATGCTCGTATCGGTCGGTTGGGTTCGCAACCGAACGTTGAATCTTCAAAGAGCGTTTCTGTTCTGTTTGTCGATAAGGTTGAAAACCTTGATAAATTGAAGTGTACGATTATATGAGCTGAAGTTCGTCATTTGGTGAGTACAGTGTGACTTGAAAAAGGTTCGTCTCTCCAGATCGGTTATCTGATATACCCAGAATTCAGCAAATACTGTAAAGATGAGCAGCCCACTGTTTGTTTTCGTGCAAATCATCACGCTTGTGAAAATGGTATCATCGTCAACGGTCATGACAACACCAAAGATCACAGTACAAAGAGGTAAAGAGTTGCACTTAGCATGTGGTATCACATTGGAAGCTGCTGATGAATTCAATGCAGTTCGATGGATTCGAGGACTACAAGCAGATCCGTACGGTGCAATAAATGTTTCAAACGGGTGTGGTAAGCCCGAGTTTGAATGTCCTGTTAATCTCACCAGTGACAATCGTGGTTCAGTCCAGTATGCGAAGGGTGAAAGAAACGATTCAACATTGACATTGACCATCCAGAATAGCACATTAGATGACAACACGCGCTTTGAATGTTCATTTGTCAGGACAAACGGCTATCCTCTTTCCAAAACAATTAGTGTGACCGTCAACTACTTCCCCAATGAAAGATATCCATTTTGTAATGCGTCGATAAATAATTCCCGGAGTGCACTACCTTTGCTGATTTGCTCGTCTGACAAGCTAGACCAGTAGTTTTGCTTGAATGGACCATACTCCTTAATTCATCAGTGATTTCCATTTCTAATGCCACAGTCGTTGCTGGGGATGAAGTTGAAAGCATCCTGAACCTCGACACAGTGGAGACGTCTTACCATAATATGACATTCACTTGTTTCATGTCTAGTGATGCCTATCCTGGCATTAAAAGAAGCTGCTCCATCAGACTGTCTGACCTAAAGACTATTACTACAGGCAGTCCTACCACTCAAAGTCGAGAACCTATTGTTATAACCACTGAAGTCATGTCTGTGCTTACCACTGAAGTCACGTCTGTGCTTACTACTTCAAGCAGCCCCAGTCCGTCAGGAGAGACTGACCCTACCGTGCTGGTATCCAAATCCACTCCCTTCCCAATGGGAACTATTTTCATTGTAGTGATGACGGTTACCAGCGGTGCCATCATCATCATTCTCCTTGTAGTCATAGTTTGCCTTGTCTCGAAGAAAAAAATTAAGAGGCGCGTGGAAAGGTACAACTCAACAAGTTCAGGGATTAGAGATCAAACAGTCAACGCATATGAGGAACACGATCGCAACGACCGATTCGCTAATCCAGGAGCGAGCGGCGATGGCACATCCGTGGGGCACATCAGACCGACCGGCCCGTCAGCTCCACAGGAATCGTCCTTGTACGATGACACCGATTTTTCAGTGGTTCACGCGGAGCAGCCACCACCGGAGTACGCTGTACAAGATCCAGACATCACCCCAACACACTCAGCTGCGAGTAATGATTATGCGTATGCAGACGCAGCTGTACCAAGAATGGCAAGGCTTAACCATGGTGAGGATGTATCGCGTGATGAAGGGAACATCCGTCAGAATGTCGAGCAAGGTGAGTCAATAAAATCCGTTGTAATTTGTGGTTTATTTCGGTTAGAGTCCTAAGGGGGAACCAAGGAAGAAGGCTTCACGGACGAGAAGAAGGTAGGTTTGCATAGCCCAGCCGCCAGCTACAGGCATTGAGGTCAAAAGTACCAGTTAGGGGACACATCTCAGTAACAATAGATAACTTTTAATGCATCTAAATTTTGCCGATGGGTGGAGCTGCACGCCGGGTGACGCCCCTCAACCCCCCGCCCCCCAGCAACGCTGCGAGCCTGATATAGGCTGATTCCGCACATTGTGGTTCAAACACGTACAAGCAGCCTTAACAGCACCGAGTGGCCGTGACATTGGTTCAAAGGGCTCAAATGAAGGCTAGGGTTTTCCACTTTTTCAGTGACACCATAGCAGTCCCCCACCGGTAACCAAAGTCAACAAAAGAGAAACAGATATTGAACAGTGAAGTTGCCTGGTCAGTTCTGCCATCAAAACTTTTGACAAATATTTTACTATCATATTCCCTGATCCATAGGTCAAAAAGCATTTACTTCTCAGGGGCATGGAAAAACAAACCAGTATTACAAAGATGTTGACTCGAGCAGTGGGGCCGGTCCTTGTGGAGTGGCAAGACATAGCGACAGGGACAGCGACAACGACGAGGACTGGGATACGAAGCTCGTCGACAACATCCTGTACGTGGCGTCCTCAAACGATGCAATCATCAACTAGCAAAAACTTGGCAGCGGGGATGTCATCTTCAAGAAAAAAAAGTCAACGGCAAACCGAGACTTGACCCATTCTAATGGCCTCTTCATTATTGGACATTGTGAAGTTCAGAACCAATTACATTAACAAGCATCTTCAGAGTAATGAGCCCAGTATTTAATGTACTACTCAAAAATTATTAAGCCACCACTTCCGAACTTGTAAATTTTTTTCAAAACAACGAGCGGGGTCAAGTTCTTTCGTTTTTTAGTTTGTCTAGATGGTTTTTCATTGGAATAACAAATACAAAAAATCAGGACAGTTGTATTGGGGTATTTTCAGCAGTAAGATATTTCACATAAAAAGGTATACACAAAATAAAAAGTGGTCCCTCAACTTTTTTTTAGTATTGTATATGGGAATTGGAGATGTTATGTCTATTGGTGTTGATTAATTATCAGAAAAAGGCATGAGCAGCTACCGAGTCAAGTGCATTTCCTTTAAATTTGCATTAGAAAATGTGAAATCTGGTTCATTCGAAATGAATTTTGCTACGATACTAACCTTTTAACCGGCTTCCTCGAAAAAAAGCAGCTTTGATAATCTAACCAAGATGTGGTTTTAAACACAAATGACTGAAATTTCATCTCAGTGGATCTTTTACGTTTTGATAAAGCACTGTATATCCACACAACACGATCAGGATAATTACAAATGATTCGGCTTGGACCGCAGAGTCTTTAGTTTCACAGC